TTTTTTGAATTTGCTACTTAATAAAATATTTGTTATCTAAGGTTGCTTACTTTATTTTAATTTATCACTTCTAACAATCACACTTCCACAGGAAAAAAATACAAATTATAATCATGCTTTTGATATGTTTTTTTTTTCTATCTAAACCTTGTTTGAAGACTGCATTTGATTTTCTAAATTTTCCTAAGCTCATTTTATGTCATTGTTTAGATACAATTTCTAGTTCTAATAACATGCAAAACATAATCATTAAAATCCGAAATAATCATCTACTAAAAATTTAAGTATCGTATTATAAAAATTAGATCCCTTCTTAGTTTTATGTCAAAACTATAATAATAATAAATGTGCAAAATCCCTTGAAAAATATATTTCTTTGTTTTTAATCCATACATTTTAAAACAAAAAGCTAGATAAAATTTTCCAATTTATAAAATAAAACTGGTATTTAATGCTTAAAAATATATTTTTTTCATTCACACATCAGTTATTTTTGTTAGAGTTGCTTTATTTTTATTGTTAATCATTTCTGAAAACAAATAAATTAAGCATTTTTACACAATTTAAGAACATTTAATCTAGACAAAAAAAAATATATATAATAATTTGTAGCAAGTAAAAATTAGTAGAAGAGTAACGAAAAAGTGTCGAGAAACGGAAGAAAAAAAACCCGTCATCGTCAGAAGTGATCCTAACTGTATGAGGGCTGTAGAACTGTATCTGGGCCTAACTGTATGAGTCATCGTTTTGCGTCCTTCGGCTTTCTTCCCATCTAGGAGGTATTGCCTAGGCACGTGCCTAGTGTGCCTATAGGTTAATCCGGCCCTGGTTACCGATAATTGACATAAATTGCATTTTAAAGTTTTTGAAATCTTCATATTTTCCATAAAATTGTGATAAGGGTAAATCTGGCAATTTATAACTACAATTAGAAACAATTTTTGCTTCTTGAATTTTATCTTTATCATTAATTTTGTATTCAGAAAGAGAAATTCAAAATATTACTTCTAAATCTTCTATTTCCTCGTCTAGTTCTTCAGTTAAACTAAGATTATCCTTTAAATCGATATCTTCTGGAAGTTGAGTGTAATCAACTATCAATTGCTTTGGAATATTTTTTAGTTCCAGTAACGAATTTAGTTTTGTGTTTAGTATATCTTCACGATTCAGTTCCTTTTCATCGACATTCAATTCATCAAGAAATTTTAACAACTTTCCTAATTTTGTTTTATTACGCCTCTTTGGCGGTTCAACGATATCAAAGAAGCCATATTCTTCTCCGGTTGCATAGGACAAACTGTACGGTCCCGTGATAGCTCAATAGTTAAAATTGAAGGTAATGTAATTAATTAGTTTACGAATGAACTTGCATTAGAGAGCGACCATACGCTCTTAACAATTCAATCAACAAGAACAAGAGGGAGTAATTCAAAGGGTTACATTATGATGACAGATGGCTGGCGCCATACTATCTCACCAAACGGTAATTCAACACCAAACGCAGGGCAAAGTTTTTTTTTTAACACTTATTTACAAGTTCTTTGATGATGTCGTTAGATTTTTTTAAATTGAAATCGTCTGCTCTTTTTTATGAAATAAATTAAAACATTTATTAGTGGTATTAAAGCAGGTAAACGTTGTAATCACTGGTGTTAAGTTTAAGTAAAATCTGAAAATTTATAAAAGTGAAGCTGAAATTTTTTACAGTGTTGCAGCTATTTAACAAACAACTATATAATTATGTACAGTAATTCTTATATTTTGTTTATAAATATCTTAAATTTAATTTCTTCCAGAAATTAAATCCTACAAGAGTGATTACAAATCTGGCGCATAACAAGCACATGTGACATTTGAAGTTGAGTTTAAACGCGATCACTTTTTTAATTTTTTTTGTTTTTGAAATTTTTTTTACCTTTATATTTTCAGTTATTTTTCGTCAAAATTTAGATTTTCGTTTTTTTTTTTCTTTTCTTTTTTTTTCTTTTTCTTTAAATTTTGTTTTTTAATAGTCTGTACTTTATTCTTTGCGATTCACAAGTCCTATGACACTAAAAGGTATAATTTTTTTCCTCATGACCATTTTAAAAAATCACCTAATTTGAATGTAAACAGGAAAAAAATAAACTAATGATATTTAAAAAATAAGTGGTATTATTGCTGAAATTTTAAAATTTTCCTAATATTTTTCGTGTTTTATTTTATTGGAAAACAAAATAATTATTAGTTTTTTCTTGCAGCAGACTTAGTTTGTAGCCTGTTGATAAGTGCCAGTATAACATTCGTGAACATTTGAATCAAATGTTTGGTCACGGATAGATTGGGCGTGGTGGACCTGTTTCCTAGCCACCACGCTCTCCTGATTTAAGCAGCAGCATGGATTCCTTTCTTTAGGGTGCATTGAAAAGTGCAATGTACACAACATCTTTGGATTCCGAAATGGATCTGGTTGCAAGAATCATCTATGCTGTACATCCAACAAAATTCAGGTGTATTTGAGCGAGGCCGCCAATTCCAACAACATATGCATCGCTAGCAATGGTGTAAACTTTGAACCTCTTCTGTGACATTTTCACGTATGATTTACCACAGCACATGTAATATTTGTGACCCATAAATATTTCAGATAATCTCAGTATTGTATCTCTTTGTTTCTTGTATCTGTCATTCTAATTTTCCTTGACCTTTCCGACCATGGGTCACTACGCAATTCTGAATCTTCGTGATGTCCCCTACCTCCCTTTAAAGTTTAGCCCAATAATCGTAGGACACCCTGTATAGGTATTTTTTAAGAAATATGACTTCCTTTGTTTTATATAAAACTAGTTGGTGGTAAATTCTACGAAGTAAGAAGTTTAAAAAATTTATAAAATATTCACCATTTAACATTTTCTCCATGTTCCATAGCGTGTTTTCTACAAAGCCGAAATTTTTTTAAAAATATACTTTAGATAGTTTTGGACTTTTATGAGTATTTTGGAAAAAAATATGACGCATTTTGTGCCTTATAAATCTATTCTCAAATAAGTTTCTCGGTGTAAAAATTATAAAAACTTCTGAAACATCCACCACTCGACATTTCCCCTGGGTGCTAATTTCTTCAGCTCTTTTATTTTGTAAACTATAATGCTACTCGGCAAGAAAGAGAGTGATCGAGGAGATGTGATGTATGATTTTATGGAAGGGGGTTCTAGGTTTGTGTCTGCTGTCGTTCATAGCATTTTTAATACTTTGAAATTATCATCATATTGGGTCACCCCGGGAAGTAATTTTGTGATAAAACTGAAATGCATCAGAAATGTGACTTTTAAAGCTGAAATTTTGAGTTTTTTTTTTTTTTTTTTTTTTTTTTTTTTTTTTTTTTTTTTTTTTTTTTTTTNTTTTTTTTTTTTTTTTTTTTTTTGAAAAAAGAAAGTGCTTGAGTAAAATTTCATTCAAATTTATTTCTCTTTTTAGCTTTTATTGGAGTCAACCCAAATGATATATACACTGATTCCGCAAATCTATCGGGCTTTTTTTTTCGTCTTTTCTCATTGCGACGACTTATGCCAAGTCCCGTCTTAAGAAACCACCAAATGGGGGAGGGGGGAAGAAAACAATTTTTCAAAAATGAATTGAATTTTTCGATTTTTCCTTAATTTTTAAACTTTATTTGGAAAGAATTTTTTTTTTTACTTTTTTCTTTTGGCTGCTGATTCAGTTAATATCCCCGTTGATTAGAGATATTTTAACAATAAAAAAATCGTAACTAAAATATTTTAATCATTTATATCTCATTGTTTCCTGTTTTCGGACCACAACCTTTTCCGTTGTATCCATTGTATCCGGTTATGATTTTCTTCTATTTGGTACGCTGTCGCGTATATAAAATGAGGGTACTTTTTTTTTACCAACCACAATATTTTTTTGCTTTTGGGTTATTTCTAACACATTTTAAAATTTTAGTTATGCTTATTTTAAGCAACTGCTTCTATGATTTTGCCATTTTGCTTTCAGGCTTAGAAGGAAAATATTTCCTCACATGAAAACATAAACTAACATATTAATGTACTTCTTTTGCAATTTTGATCCAGAATACAACAATTACAATCTTATTCTCTAGCCAGGCGATGAAACACTTAAGTGAAAAAATTTAAGTGTTTGACATTAGTAAAGAATTCGATCATACTCATCGTATTTGCAATTTTGATCCAAAATATAACACTTACAATCTTTTTCTCTAGCCAGGTGATGAAACATTTAAGTGAAAAAATTTAAGTGCATTACGTTGACATTAGTAAAGAATTCGATCCAGTTTATTTTCGAACGACATCGTCACAACCGTTTGGAGTAAGATCCAAAAGCTCCGTGTCAGGGAACTGATCCATTGTATTTAATTTGCCGTCATTCTTTCTTATACTAAAAGTCTATAAATAAATAAAATAATAAATAAATATATATATAAATAAATAAAATAAAATCTCAAGAAACCAAAAATTATAAATGTTTCAAAACTTTTTAGCTGATGATGTGTCTGTCTTAATTAAATTGTGGAAGTTATCATTTTAAATTTTCAATTAGCTTAGGCAAATCTGTCTGAATGTTCGTTCGCTCTTTAATGTTCGTGCATTGTAGTTGAAATCGGCTTGAAATACAGGTTAAAATAATATAACTGTTTAAATAAATGCTTTTGATAAAATTTGATGTTCAGATTTGTTTTTTTCGTTTCTTATTTTTAATTTTATTCAATAGAAATTAAGATACAGAATTTGGAGATCATAAAAGAATGAAGTTACCATACTTCTCTTGAAAACTTCCTAACAAATCCTGTGATATTGCATTAATTTTGGCATCATTTGCTTAAAAAGATTTAGAGATAATATTTGCAGAGAAATATTGCTTACGGTTCTTTGATTTGAATAATATAGAAACAAAGCAAAGTCTTTGGAAACAAAGGATTTATGGAAAGGAGTTATGGAAACAAAACAAAACTCTTGATTTCTGAAAATATTTTAGGTGAGAAAAGATGCAGAAAATATCGTTATTTTATAAATACCTTCGGAATTCAAATTTCTTCTTGACTTAAAACATTTATTATTTTATTTTATTTTATTCATAAATTAAAAGAAATTCTCTTTAAAAGAATATTTTATGAATAAAAAAAATATAGTTATCTTACTTTTTTTGAAAACTGTTTCAATATTGCACTAATTCAGCAGTCAGAAAATTTTATAGAGTTGGTACGATTTTTAGAAGAAATACATAAAAACTAAAATACGAAAAATGTATTTTATTATGCTCCTAATCACCGCAGCATTTTAAAACGACGTAGAAATATATGGAGTCTGGGATTAAGAATATTTAATTTTAAAGAGTCAGCAAATAAAAAGAAATTTGCAACTTCTTTATTGCAAAACCGATAACAATGTTTTTTATTTTTTTAAAACCATTCGAAGCGTGGTTTAGAGGCAAAGCAATAAACAAAATGCCCAAAAAAACTTGCTAATGTTCTCATGAATAAAAAAAAAACTCGTCATTTAGACGCATTGAAGTAATTTAAATAGAAGAAAAATGCAGAAAATGGAACTTAAATATCCTGAGTTGTTTTTTGTAGTGTTAACACAATAATGAAGCGTTAAAAAGTTTAAAACTTTAAATTAAGTGACTTACAATTCAATTTTAGAAGACTAAAATATCCTTTTTTATAAGATTTTCCAAAGTGTTGGAATATTTGAAAAGAAAAATCGATTTTGCCATTTTTTTTGTGCACATTTTGCTTGTCGTGGTTTAAATTTTAAGAATTTCGAATGTGAAAATCACATGTTAAAACATAACTAACATGAAGTAATAAAGTATGAAAATAATAATACCTATAACTCAAATTTTTATTAAGACAGATCATGTAGTAATACAGTCTTTCAAAATTAAGAAGAAAAACAACATCTATTTGTCGTTGAGCATTTACAAAAATAAGAAAACTTCTGCACGCATACTTTCTCTCAATTCCAAAGTGTCACACAACCAATCATAAGAAATTCAATAAATTAAGGAAGGAAAAATACATCAAAGCAGAATTTATAACTTTTCAATCATTCAGTCCTAAAAAAAGAAAGACATTTTAATATTCACAGATAATACTATTATTACTAATTCGTGAATGTTAATTATTTATTTTTACCTCTCTTTTTGTATTTCTTTGTTCTGGTAAAATAAATCAAGTACTTGATGTGCAACTCGCCCTATTTAGCAATGAATTACAGTCGAACCTTGTTAACATGAACACGTTTAACGTGAACTTCTTTCAACGTGGACTAATTTTTGATTTCCCGGCAAATTGTATACGAATACAATACTTCAACGTACTTTTAGCGTGAACACACTAAACGTGAAATATCTGTTTAATGTGAACCGAAAATTTATTTACCTTTTGAAAAGGAATGGAAAACTGATCATTCACACTTCTATATCTATAAGTGTAAGTTTTTTGATAGCTTTGTTTAAGCAGGTAACGTAAGCAACGCCGAAAATTTTTATGATAAATTTATTGTTTAAGATGATCGGATGTTATTCAAGGGAAATATTCAAGGGAGAAAGTTATTATAGTGTTAATTCTATTTAAATAAGGAAGTATTTTATACAAGTAGTGAATATTTAGTGCGAATAGCACAAATATAAATAGAATTCAAAATTAGTTGCTGTTGTTCCTACGTTTTGAGAATTACCCAAATGAGTTTGAAGTCGATAAAATACTTCTAAAGAGGAAAAAAAAAAGAAATTGCGTAAAGAAATTGGTTCGACACCTAAACTTTAATGGTAAATATTTCCATAATAAAGTCACAGTAAACAAGAAATTTCACATATCATTGTATAAAACATTAGTTAATCAATATCTAGTTAATCTGGAGCTACCAATCAAATCTAGGACGACCAATCTACACTGGTTATCATAAATTAAGGAAAATTCACAAAAATCGCGATAACTCAAGAAATTACACATGGAATTTTATGAAACTTACCCACAANCCTTAATTTATGATAACCAGTGTAGTTATTCTACCAATTTAGGTCAGTAGAAATCTGTTCACAGTTATAATTTTTAAGATATTCGTATCTTTCTAACGGTCTACCTTTTCATTGCATATATTTCAGTAAAAGTCGCATATATTTGCTACAATTTTGGGAAATTGTTTAGTAATTCCAATATTTTTCTTTATATTATTTTTATATTATTTATATTATTTTTCTTTCCATAAAGCAGGAATAAGTATGAAGAGTTTTGAACATTTAAATGTATTTTTCACCCAAACATCTAATAATATTTTCCCTAATATATTTTATAATAAAATTATGAAATGAAATTATTAAACACATAAATTTTCTATTTTTATCAATTTAAATTATAATTGATTAAAACACTTTTTTTTCCAGGAAAAATATAAATTTTCTGCTTTTTTTTTAAAAATCATTCGAATAAGACATTGATCTATTATTTTTTTCACAATAGAGTTACTGAAAGCTTTAAAGTTTATTATGATATTTCATCCAAAAAGCGAAATTGAACAAAGCCTTAAAATATTATTTATTTTTCCTGAAATATATTAAGTAAGAGATAAAATTTCGTTAAACTGAATAGAATATAAAACTAAAAATTAATTTAATTTTTTACCACAACATAAAACAAGAGGAAAGTTTTTAGCTTTGGTTTGACCAAACTCAATTGTTTTTCCACTTAAGTAAATTTCTAAACTCTAGATTTAATTAAAAATCTTACCTGATTACTCTGACATAAAGTTCTTTTGCATACCGATAGTGTTGATCAAAACGAATCTGTAAATTATGGTAAATTTCTTGAGAACATTTATTCAATCCGTATTCAAGCCGTCGAATAGCTTCCACAAACTTACCTTCCTATAAAATATAAAAAGTTATGATTTAGAAAATATCAATTTGAGTAGAATGATGAATTTGTTGTAATCCGAATTTTGAGAGACTTTTCTTGCATAATGTTTAATTATTTCTATATCATATTTGTTTAATTGAATCTTAACGTTTCGTTTTTTGATTATATACTAAGAAGAATTCTTTTTTATAATAATAATAATAAATTCTGGCAGCAATAACAAAGGTTCTCCGTTTTCAGAGATATTTGTGCCAGAAACTCGCGTTTATTCCCCACGTATGAAGTTAGCATTGACAGTGAAAACAAGATGGGCGGCTTTAAATTCCTCTAAAAAAATTATGTTTATGTATTTAGTTATTTGAAAGAATACTCTGTAGGTGACATACTTAAAAGTAAAAACCTAACATACTTGCAAGCACTGCACCTACAAATAAAGCGTTAACTGCACGTATAATAAATTTTGACACCACAATATTTCCTCTATTCTTTCCTCCATTCCATGAAGAGTTTCCAGCTTCTTACCCTTCCCAATTTGTAACCCTGCGCTGTTAGAATAAAATGCTTTCATTCACGCATAAGGGGTAGCTCCATAAGGCTGCTTAAATCTCCAATGTCTAGAAGTTCTTTTTTCATAATAATTATAAATGGCTAAAGAAACGTATAGTTTTGTATTCACGCTTTTTTAGCCATACTAGTTGTAAATGGTTACAAAGCCATAAAGGTAGAATATATTCTTTACCGTAAACTTTATGGTTAAATGGATGGACAGCCGGTTATTTTACCATAATTTCAGAATGAATATTCAAACAGTTGAGCAATATTTCTTGAAATATTTTTGAAGGGGATCATGTTATTCTTTTCTTATAACTCTGTACAATAGAGTTTTGTAGGTTTCAAGACGAAAAAGTACAAAATAAATTATTTTTTACAAAAATGTATTTGAGTTTATTTTTGAACAATTAATTGTTTATTTTGATTTAAGAATTAGAAACATTAGTATTGTAAATATACCTTATAAAGTGCTTCTCCTTCACAAAATACTTTGCATAACAAAGCAGAATACAAATGAGGTTGCTCTTTTATGAGATCAAATGCAATATCATCTGAAAATGCAAATAATAAATTACAATGAAATACTTTACACAGTTCGTAATATAATAAGATGAGAAGAAGGTTTTATCATCATCCCCTTGAGAAAAGACAGAAGTAGAAAGAAGCTCTTCTGCTGGCCCATATGCACCGAGTTTATACATACCAAATAATACGTATACTTACTAATGCGAAAATACCCTATTAAGATCACGTCCGAGTGATATTGAGCAGCTAGAGTCAGAAAGGCTCGTTTAATATATGATACCGTGGGTCTTGAAAGAAAAATCGTGTGATCACGGTCTAGAAGGGATTAATTACCTATTCTTGGCGGAAACAAGATATTTCGATTGACAGGGCAAATTGATAAGTAAAGTTAAGTATATTTAGTTAAAAAATTAATGAATGCTGTGTTTTTAAAAACATATAAACTGTGCTTTAAGCAGCATTTAATTTATTCAAAATAAAAGGAATTAATAGGGTGGTTTTCATTTTCCTCTTACGTATACAATGACTTAAATTATTTGTTTCGATTTTGATCCCATGCAAAATTTATAATGAATCGCCTGATTCTGATAAAGCTTTATTTTTTACTTCTTTTTTTATAATAATTTGTAACCTCTGTAACGGAAGTTAAATATGCTTCATTTTTAATAAGATGCTTAAATTATTTTTAAGAGGGGTTAACTATTATATTTTCTGTATTTAATTATATTAATTATATTGAACTTGAGAAACACCAGCAATTTCGCTCACCATTTTTTTGCTTTGAATTTTTCTAACTCTTTCACCAAATGAAAAAACGTACGTTTTTAAATTTTTACAGTAGATCATTTCAGCTTCGGGCATCGACGAATTTTATGACGAAAAATTATATCATAACGCCTAAAGCAATCAACTTCTTACATCTTTAAGGTAAATTTTCAAAGTAATATTCCGCGTTGTTAAATGATTACAGGAATCAGACTTATTTCAGTTCAGTGTTTTTAAGTTAAAGGTAGGTACATGCAATTTAGTTTTTAACGATTGGCGTTAAAAATGTCATAAAGCAGAAATGGTTGAAAAGATATGTTAGTTTTTAGTTACGGAACAAGTCGCAAATAATTCCCCTCTTTTTTTATTTATTTATTTAGACTTCACAAGGTGCCCATTATGTCGCATAAAATAAATTTCCTAATGACTATAATCACAAATGTGATGCGTCTTTGCTTTTCTAATATACGAAGGCTGTTTTTTAAGTAAGGGCCGTTTGAAGATAAAAATCAAACGGAAGAAAATTTTAAAGAAGCATATATATTTTTTGATTCTACATATGTTTCTCTTTCTTTCAACATAGTTGCCAAACTATTTAAAATAATTGACATACCTGACAACCAGGTTTAGAATACCCTTTTCATAGAAACTTGCCGCCTGCTCTTATAATCAGGAGGTCACAGCCGTTTTTACGTATTCGTCATCGCTGTAGTGATTGCCGACAAAATGATGTTTGAAATATCGGAAAAGAGGAAAATCACTCAGCGCAAGGTCTGGGCTGTAGGGAGGGGTGGTCGTACAGGTTACCTTCACAGCTGCAACTGAGTACAGTTGTCCATGGCGAGAACTATAGATATCCATGAGTGTGCAAAACACAGCCGGCTAACTCCTTGATGTTACAGACTCTCGATGTCAAAGGGGGAGAATTTCCCAAACTGAGCCAGGAATCTTAAAATGGCAGGGCAGACAAAAATAGGTTTTAGTGTTAGTGGAATATCATCACAGTTACTGCAGAGACGGTCTATTGCCATCTCCCAGGATCTTCATACCTCTATAGTGACCAGTTCTAAGGCGGATGATAGTTTTGGTAAGGTCTCTATTTGCATTTATTTCACAAATCTGCGAGTCTCTTTTAATGGTACAGTTGTTTCCAAGGAATGCTGAGTACAGTTGTTTCCAAGATGTACAGATCTGAACTTTTTAAAACATACCCAATCCTTTGCTTTTAGAAATTTTTTTATTTCTATTTCTTTAATATTTATCATAAAAGTTTTATTTCTCGATCACGTTAAAATGTTCAAGATATTTTACAAAAACTTGAAAGATTGTACCAGTAGAAATAAATTTAAATAAATATTTTTGCTGATAACATCCAACCAGCCCTATAGTCTTCCTTATCAGTGCTACTAATTACTTTTATTTTATGAAAAATAACGATAAGACATAATAAAAGACTAAAATACATATATTTAAACTAAAGTTTTTCGATTTTTTTCCTTTCTTAAAATGAGGCTATTAAAATAGGATAAATATTAAAATCTTATAAATTTCTCAAAAACAACGCGAGCGTGTTTTATTTCTTTGTTAACCTGTACAACATATATTATGTAAGAAAACAGCAGATTTTTTAATGAATGTAGAATCTATTTCTTGAACTGTGTCGATTCTGAAGCTATCTATTTATTTTTTGTTAATCGTGCTATTGTAGGGAAGTTAATTAAACATTCCTTATATCAGCTATGTTATTCTTCTGATAAACTTCAAAACTCATTTAGAAACCTTGAAACTATACAGGGTGTTCCATATTGCTCGATTTAAAAGTATATTTTTAGAACCTGTGTCAAAAGAGATAAAAAGGTACATACGTTACAGGTCCATACATAATATTTAAACAAAAGAAAAAAATAACAATCGAAATCTAAGGAATCACTTTGTGGAAGGCGGAACTAAAACCACCATCAAAAACTGTGAAACCCCTGAATATTGATGGGAATTGAAGGAATTATTAAAAACACTTCCAGGTTTTTCCTGCCAATCAAAAGAGTTGTGAAATTTCCGGTCTCTCTTTTGCTAGTAACCATTCGTTAGATTTCGATGGCGGTAGTATTTTTTTTAAGGATTCTAAGAATAGATAATAAAGGCAATCATCATGGAACATTCATGTACTTATTTTGTTATATTACATGAATACAAAAATAAAAATCTAACTTAAAATACTTATTTCTTACTGATTTTAACATTTGCTTTTATCAGTTCGACGGAAGTTGAAAAGTTGTTTGAGGTTAAAGCACATTCCAAGGCTGTTTTATTTTCTTTGTCCTTAATCTCTGGATTTGATCCGTTATGCAGCAACAAACGAACCTAAAAAAGCATTATTGATACGTATTAAAAATAAACAGAAAAAAAACGAACCCAGTACAATCATTTAAGTAAAGATAATTAATTTTATGAATACGGTATTCTAAAAATCATACATAATTTTAAGAATAATTTAAGTTATTAGACAATTTTGAAACTTCTTTTCATTGTTGACAACTGCTTTCATTTTGTAACTGTTAATCGAGTAGAAAAACAGTAGCAAAATAACACAGAAGTAAATTATATTTCAAAGTCACGTGAGCCACAGTTAAAAGTGATTTTTTTTAAACATTTTTATAAGTATTGTCTGAATTACAATTTAACTTCTCTGAATTTAAAAGCAACTTTTGTGAAGTTTTCGAGTTCTGAACTAAATATATTTTCTGTGGAATCGCTTTCTACAAGTTTAAACCCTAAAAAGTTGTTTTTGTTTAACATAATTTTTTTAAAATAAGGCTAAAAACGCTTAAGTTCAAAAACTAGATAATATTTTAAATTCATATAAAGTCTGTAATTGTAATTTAAATATAGTTTTTAGTTCTGGAAATAATCACCCATTTTAAGTAATTGATCAATATTTTTTAAACAGAATGTAGTCATAAATATACATTTATTGTCAACAAAAGTTTTTTTATCTGAAACGATATAAATTGAGAAGTAAGTTCTTGGTTAGTGAAAAACAACTTTGCTAAAATTTAAAATGTATGTAAATGAAATGAAAAATAAATTAATAAATTTTTTTATTTATTATACTATCGATATAATTCATAAACACAGATAATTTTGTCTTATTTTTCAATCGAATCCTTATTGTGTCTAATTATTGTTACACTAAAGTTGTTATCCCTGATACTATAGTTATAGTCCTGAAACTTATAGTTATTGTTCTAAGCGTACAAGAGTAAAAAATGGACATCGTTAACAATATTTAAAAAATTTTCTTGGAAGAATATGATTTCACTTTACCTCCTTGTCTCTTAGAAACATGCGGATCAATTATTTATTTATTCATTTATTTATTTTATTTATTTACTTCGAATGAATAAACAACTAAACAAAATTACCATATCTGCATTTCCATGCTTTGCAGCTAAATGTATTGGCATTGATAGCTCATAATCCCTATCTGAAACAGCCACTTTTTTCTCAAGTAAAAATTGAACAGCATTGGTTTTATTATTGATACAAGCCCAAGCAAGAGCACTTCTCCGAAATTCATCCTTACTATTCCAATCTATGTCTGTAATATAAGTAAAAAAAATGTTTTATTTATAGATAATTATCAAAAAGTAAAGATGTACGAATTTCTTTAATTCAAACTTATGACATTATATTCCTCCCATCACAGTTAAATTAGTAAATTTGAGGTACCATTATTATTCATATTATATTTTACGTTTATGAATATTTCGTTTGTAAATGTTAATGTACTTAAATACATAAATATATAACAACTATTAAATAATGTGTAAGATTTTCTAAGTCAAATGCATCAGAAAATGTAAGTTTTACATTTCGCATTTAGACCAACTGCTTATAATACCCCGGAAAAGCTATTGTATTTTATTATATGTAAAAAAGCCAATAAATTATACGAGATACTAAGTTGATAACTTTTTTCGTGTCTTGATTGTTTAGTTTAACTAAAAAAGTTTTTACAAAAAGTGGTTCTTTTAAATGCGTTAAAATCAGCCTTTTTATTTATATAACTTATGATAAAATGTTTTTATTTTAGATTAGGAAAAAGATTCAAAAGCGAATCTTAATTTCTTTGCTATCGAAAATCTACTATTTATTATAGCTGACAAAAAACTGCTTTAAGCACTGACATTTTATTTTAAAAGTATGTTAATCAATGGTGATGAATAACACACATTTTGGCTTTATTCTTCATTAATATAGAGTGTGAGATGGGGAAAAATTTAGAACTTAATTATTTTTGACAAAAACATGAATGTCGAATTCACCTACTCTCAAGAATTAGGAGATAACAATCAGAAGCGTTTGGTCATGCTGAAAATTTTTTTTAATTGTAATAACTCGATATTTTCGATACCTTTATCTTCTAAAGTTTGCAATGTTGAAATATGTCCCAGAAAAGCTGCAAGCTTAAGATTATCAGCGTTGGAGGCAGAACTGAAGCTCAAAAAGAAACGGCATAAGCCTTTTTGTCCTTCACTAGAAGCAGTTGTTAGTTTATTGAGAGTCATATTTGAATCGTTATATATTTTCACCAGATCGTTACAAATCTGTAATAGAAAATGTTAAAAATTAATATGTAAATGATATTGAATGATTCTAAAATTTTGAAAGTCTTGTTGAGTAATAGTCATATCAACGTCAAATAAGCGTAAGACACTTGTGTGAAGAATAGTTAATTTCTTTTCAGTAGAATTTTTTTTCTGGTAAAGTGGGCTAATTATTTTAATTAAAAAAGGCGTTTTATACTTTTTAATTATTTAGGTATTTTCAGATTATCAGCCAATGCAAATATTAGCCATCAGTCAATAAATGTCAAAGTATCAGTCAAATGTATGTATAGTTCGTTCACCGGGAGTTGGCACTTGGCCCTGCCATCATCACGTGGTATCCCACGATATTATTTCACTATTTTTGGGAGAAGGATGTGAACATTCCTGAACAAGGCTGCTATTTGGCGATCGTATGACAGAAATATCTATTTCGCAATCTTTATGTGCATTTTTTTAACGTTAAATATTTCATAAATTTGATGACATTTCTCTCTTTTGAGTTAATAGTTTGTCCTTATTGAGAAATTTTGCTGCAATACATTTAATTAGCTAGAGTAACAAAAGGTATAATAGCAGATGATAAAGCGAAGTAAGTGACTGAACAAGAATTCGCAATTTGCGTTTGGCGCGCATTAAGGCTGGTCTCAATTTCAAGCGCGGAGACGTTTCTCCTTTCACTCCCGCACTGAAATGAACTCTTTGTCCGAGGAGGTGGAGTCAAGTACCAACCCCTGGAGAATGAACTATAGATAGCGATAGATTATTTATCAATTATTATTAACATTATTATTATTAGCATATTAACATTATTTTTATTACACACTGCCACATTTTTATGGTTTAAGTTTACTTACTTTTTTGTGCAAAAATTTTAAAAATATCTAACTAACCTCAGTTATGTATTTTTAAAGTTAGTTGTCACTTGAAATTTCGTGAAATTCTAAAAAGGAATAAAACGGAAATTTGCTATGAAAAATATAATGCCTATAGGTATGCACATTATACATTATAGAAAAGAAATCATTGTGAAAATTGTAAAGAAATGCGTGGATGAACATTGGTTTATTTAAGTAAAAAATAGTTAACCTCATATCTTCCAGCACCAGAGGCAGTTATTAAAGCTCTCTGAATAGCCTGAGAGCGTTGAGAAAGAGAGACCCAGTTGTTAGGCTGCAGCAAGAAAGTCACAATGTCCAGATATCCTTTCTCAGCCGCACAACTTAGAGCACATCGGCCTACTTTATCTTGTAAGTGGACCTAAAAATATGCATAATATTTAAAATTGATATTAAGAAATTCTAGCTTAGTATTGAAAGCACTTTTAATAATGTTTTATTTAACACAATATTTCATATTGCTTAAAAATATGTATTATAAATTGAAATACATTATATAAAGTTATCAAAAATGAATAAGAAGTATTTATAACATTTCAGAAAGACATCATACACATTTTTTTCCGCATGGGATGTGGTAAATAAATGATGTGAATGTATGAATCAGCTTTCATAATCGGTGAACGAATCAAGGTTTTAAATACTTTTCAAAGAGTTTCAAAACTATAAGAAATATTTTCAAGCATGTGGAACATTCTCACTGAATTCAAATCGCATATGACATAGCACTTGAATGTGATTCCACGCATGCGCGAGCAATCGGTCTTACATGTAGTTTCGAAACATGTAGTACGCATGCCTAAAACAATCGGATGCAGTGTGAATGACCCTAAACTAAAAATTTCTAAATTAATAATGTAGAATAAATATATATCCACCTACCTTTGACCCGTTATTAATCAATATTTCAATGACTTTCAAATGTCCTCTCTCTGCTGCTATAATCAATGGAGTAGCTCCTATTTCATTAGCATAATCTGTAGCTGCTGTCAGCTGCATAAAAGTAGTTAAAAGTTCTGCAGATCCTAATTTACAAATTTCATGAATTATTGGTGTTGCTTCCATATTAGAATTAGGATTAGCGTTAGATTCCAAGAGCAAGTGAAGAATCTACATAGTGTGAAAAACAGCTATTAATAAGGGATTTATAAAAAAAAATTTGGAAAAAATAATTGAGATTTTACCTTTGAATCAACCCAAAATAGTGCTCGAGAGTTTGCAAAGGCGTCTAAGATGTCAATTGGGGAAAGCATCAACCAGAGAGAATAAAGTTTTTTGTCTTCTTTTAAAATTTTACAGCGACTAAGATGATACACAAATTCTATTTCTTTTTCTTTAGTCAGAGGATAGCACATTCTAGTTGGCAATAATGCAAGATAGGTATGTCCCAAGCTAAAAAGGAATCATTAGTAGATATTGAATAAACAGCATTAAACTCTACATTTATAGTAAAAAATAAGTTCTTACTCATAAATTTTAATTTTTGTGAAAAAATGAAAAAAATTGCAGCTAGATAATCTCTATTTTATTTAAAGATCACAAATTCAAATGCTTTTTAAAATCCAAATCTTAACTTATTTTAAAGATTCGTTCACACTAATTTTAAAGGTTCTTTCATATGATAAAATTGTTTATTTTATTGTAATTTAATTCATGGGCTTAAGATATAAGAGTCTTCAACCTTTACGCTCGAATTTGAGAAATTATACCGGCACATGTGTTAGATAATGTAAACAGAAGTACAAATGCAGTTAATTTTAGTATGAAGTTCAAAGTTTTTTTTTTCACGGATTTTTCTTTAAAGTTACAGTTGCGTGGTGGTTCAGGGGATAAAGCGTTCGAATCTCAATGAAATGACCCTGATTCGAATCTCAGTGGCGTCTGGTTGTTACGAATTCTGCTCCCAGCTCACATCAACCCCAATACTGACGTAAAATATTCTCAATGGTAGACGGTTCATGTGTTAGAATCTCCTTGAATTCGGGCTAATCGTCGGAGGTCTTTGTTATTTTAATTCATATGTAACGCTAATACGAGTTAGTTCCATCAAAAAGTCAGCCATGAAGGATAGTTTTCCTCAATGCTTGATCCAGGAGTTCCCTTGTCTTCTAGATTGGTTTCAAAATTACAAGGCTACTGAGTTAAGCATTGATATTCGTAAATTGGGTTGGCTGTGCAACGACGGTTATGAGATAAAAATAGTAAAAAGTTGCAATTTGTCACTTTTGGAGAGGATAAATTAGACCACTCTTTCAACTATAATTTCAAACATTTGAGAACAATTTGAAAAAGATTTGTTCGCAAATTTTCTAAATGGATGATACAAAAAGCTGTTATGTTAGTATTTTCTTACGCTTATTGTCACGCCGCCAATAATGTTAACAATAATCCTACCTTTTGCAGAGTTTTTAGTTTCTATGATGACAAATATATTACTCAGGTTAACTCATATTAAGTCAAGGTGTTGGTCAAAAAGGAATATAAGCCGGAACTAAGAGCTGTATTTTTAAGTGCAACAGCATTAGCTGATTTCCAATATTACAACAATATTACAAAGCATAAATTCTATGGGTTAGAATAAAATACGAAAATCTAACATTTGAATTATTGTTATTGTACTGAACAGGGCTCGAAATTAACGGTGTTCAGTTGATCCGAGACCACTAAAATTTCACTTGGACTACTATAAAATAATTATCATGTGTCCCCAGGACCATCGGATGATGTGCCTTTTTTTTGAATTTTTGATTTGTGGTTTTTTAATTTTTGGTTTGGTTTAATTCGTTTTGGTCTGTATTTATGTCACAAAATAGCATATTTAATCATAATTGTAACATTACATATTCTCTGTATCTGTTCTTATTTAAATTCACTTAATTAACTTTTTTTTAAAAAAAAAACTTAAAGAAGACATATAAATGGACCAGAGAAAATGTGTTAAGACTAGTAATATCTTTTAGTTACTGGTCCTTTCGACCAGTGACTAAATTTTCTTAATTTTACCCCGGTTGAATATGTCTGTGGTCAGATTCTCCATACATCTCACTATTATAATGTCGAATAAGCTGATAATCAAAATAACTTTACATGGGCAAAGCACAGTGCGCAAAATAAAAAACGGACCACCCTGAATAACTTTTGATTTGATGATCGAATCTTCACGTTCTAGGAATCAATCTTAAAGGTTCAACTGGGTGACTTCAAATATGTTATATTAATAAGTGCAAATGATATTTTAAGTTTCGAAATCAGAAACAAAAACGTACTTTTTCTGAATAAACGTGCTTTTTTCTTGACGGATTCAGATTTCGGACCCCTAAAACATAGGGAACAGCCGCAATCTGGGAAATATGGTCCAAAGTTTGGACCCCTTAATGTCAATTTTACTTTTTGCGTACTTCGTCGTATCTTGAGAAATTTTTAAGCGAATTAAATTTTTTTTTTGCATACAATGTTAAAATTTATTTAGCCAAAGATCATTCCATGCGAAAAAAATTTTTAGTCTGCATTTGCCATTTTTTTTATTTGTTTATTTTATCATAGTCGAAATTTGAATTGTAAGGTATACAATTTTTTACATAACTTTGAAGAGTTTATTTTTACATGGCAAAATACCAAATATGAGTAAAATCAGTGCTCAGTTCATTCGATTCTCAGAAACTATTCGACCGATTTTGCTCACACTTTTTATTTTGCCATTTAAAATTACTTTATTTAAAATGATTTGAAAAATTTATATATTTAAAAAATGTTGTATATTATCTTAGAAAAATATTTTTTGTTTCATTCTTAAAGGCTGAAGAAGTAATTATTGTCTTAACATGCGTGTATTAGACAAAACAAAAAACGGACCACCATGAATAACTTTCGAGCTGACCATCGGATCTTAACTCAATCTTAATGGTTCAAAAGGGTGACCTTAAAATATGCTAATAAATTAGGGCAGACGATATTTTAAGTTACGAAATCAGACACAAAATCAAACTATTGGGACTATATTCCTTACCAAACTATTGGAACAATATTTCCAAGTTTGCGGCTACCCCCTACGTTTTGGGGGTCAGAAATCTGAATCCATCAACGAAAAAAAGGTACGTTTATTCAGAAAAAGTACGTTTTTTGTGTCTGATTTATTAATTTAAAATATTGTCTGTATTAATAAAGTAGCATATTTGAGGTCACCCCCACGAGCCATTAAGATTGAGTCCCAGAACGTGAAGATCCAATCATTAGGTCAAAAGTTATTAATGGTGGTCCGTCTTTTATTCTGCGCACTGTACATTAAATGCATACAGATATTCATTAGCCAATTCTTATCATTAAGAAGGTTTTCAGGTTTCGCTATTTTTTGGCTATCATGTTGCTACCAAATAACTTAGGCCCTCATTGAACCAATATTCATGAATATTATTGGCTCAATAAGGATTAAAAGGGTCGTTATTTTACCAATATTGGCCCTATATAGAATTAATTCGATTTATTCGATATTTTACAGTCACTTTACAACCAATATCGGCACTATATGGAATTGTCAGATTCACTCAATATTTTATATTTATTATTAAGCCCAATATAAGCCCTTTATTGGCCAACGTAGGCCCTATATAGGTCATTCTAGGACCAATATTAAAAATTCTAGTCATCCTAACATTGGTCCCTTGGTGCATGTTCTCATTGGGCTCACATTGAACCAATTTGTAGCCCAACTGGGGCCAAGGTAGAATTGTTGCTAGGGTAGCTATCTTCAGAATATTTACTGTGGGAAATTGCAGGAAGTACCCATTCTAAGTTCCTAATATAGTACTTTAAAGTAAAAGATATGATTGTGGAAATGAAATTTACTTACCTAATATCACAAGCGAATTTTTTATTGTTTATCAACCAATGACGCAACGCAGAATGAGAAATCATTAGTGATTCATCTTTTCTTTGGATTAGAATTCCATAGAGTGAGTGAAGATTCTGTGTAAACTCATACCAATTTAATTTCGGAATAACAGATGCTGACTCCAACGTATAAAAAATTTCCAAAGCAGTCAGGGGATTTTGAGAAGCAAGGCATATTTCCAAAATTGGCTTCACCTAAAAATATTTGCGTAAATTTTGATATTCTTTTACTAAAATAATTAAAATTAAATAGTTGGATGATACTGAATTATTATTAAATTTGAATACATAGCCGCGATGACTCAGGTGATTGAGTGTTCGCCTTCCAATGAGGTGAACCGGGTTCGAATTCCAGCAATATCTGGTCTATACGAATTCGCACCGACCTCACTGCTGACGTGAAATATTCTCAGTGGTAGACGGATCATGGGTTTGAGTCCCCTTGCCATCAGGCTAACCGTGGAAGGTTTTCGCGGTTTTCCTTTCCATGTATCACAAATGGGGGTCAGTTTCATCAAAAAGTCCTCCACGAAGGCAAAGTTTCATCCAATACTCGATCCAGGAGTTCTCTTGTCTTCTGGATTGGGTTCAAGATTACAAGGCTACGGAGTTGAACGTTAGTATTCGTAAAACCAAAATTAGGTCGGCTGTTCAACGATGGTTATAAAATAAAATAAATTTGAATGTAAATGTTTTTGTTGAATTTGTGCAAATTGTATGTGACAGGCATCGAAAATTCAAAATAAATAAAGCTAGCAAATGATGAAAGACAATAATATTTGAAATATAATAGCATTGAAAAAGATGTTAAACATACAGAATAATAATAAAGGAATGGAAGATGTTAAGTATTTACCTATTTATCATTAATTATTGATACTCAAGTTATAAAATGGAGCTTCCTAAAGCTTCTTTTTCTTAATGTCTTAATATGCCTTTAAAAAGAATTCTAATTTATTAGGATTACACTTCGCAACCTAAATCAATTTCTTTAAGAGAAAGCAGACTGTTTTTGACCAACTCAATATTTATGAAATTGCGTTTTTCATTTATCATGATTGTAACTGCTTATGATCAATCAGATATAAATACAGACTAAATAGGCTGGATTCATACGTTAATGTTTTCTTTTTATCAAACATTATTGTCTTTGTACGGTACATACTTTTACAAGCTGTACACAAAAAGTAATTAATTGAAGCTTGCTCTTTGTTAGATTATTTAAGTAAGTGCGGAGAGTAGATAAATTATCTATTGGGTGAATTAACGTAATTTTTAAACATTTAGCGTGTACTATGACTATTTGCTTGATAGCGAAATTAAACGGCATTTTTTTTGCATTAAGCCTTTAGAATTTTTCTTTTCTCCACCATTTTTATGAAAGATGATAAACTTATTGGAAAATAAAAAAATGATATTTTCAATTACGAGTAGGAATGCATAAGATACAATAGGATATGTTCATGAACGGTGCAAACGTCAATTAATTAAATTTTAATCGTAAGCATGTGACGTTTTTCTAAAATAAAATTCCTATGTATTTTCATAAGTTCAAAAGTTCCCTTTTTGTACTCACAGCTAGAAATCCCTGAAAATTTATAAAATAATGCTTAAGTAAATTACAGTGTGTTCGTAGTTGAAACAAGTGTAAACATAGGTTGCATTTATATCGTATTGTTTAAAGTAAATTTAACGTTTGCTATTGTATTTAAAAGATGTCAATGAAAGAAAATCTTTAAAAATCTATGAAAATAAAAACGGCTTAAATGATTGTGTTACATGAATTTATTTTACGTTGACTTTATATACTGATAAGGGTTAAGTTCGAATGCTTCGATTGTTACATAAAAATTTTTTTAGAGAATTTCAGAATTTAAATTAGCTACACAATGCTTAAAGTTTCATTCTGAAATTATGGTAAAATAACTGGCAGCTGTCTGTCCATCTGATTAACCGTAAAGTTTACGGTAAAGAAATTTTTTTTTCGTTTATGGTTTTGAAACTATTTACAAAAAGTATGGTTATAAAACCATGAATTCGAAACTATACGGTTTTTTAACCATTTACATCTAGCATTTTTCAAAAAAGTAAGAAAAGTTAATTATTTAACTAGACGTAGGAGCTCGGCCTTTCGTAAGGTAATGGGCATTGGAGAGTGCCGGACACTGGAAATTCTTCGTCTGTTAAAGGGGAGGAAATATTGTGGTGTTAGCACTAGGACTCGAATTCCAGTTCTGCCGGCCATGAGATTGACAGGTAAACCCCGCTCGGCTATGATATGGACGCAGTTACTAATAAGTAGCTTCATTAGGTGATTCTAAATGGTGGGTTAAAATTCTGGTTGTTAACCGTATTAGGTGAAAGCAGTTAATAAACAGTTTTTCTCAAACTTAACAGTTTGATTACCATTTTATTTAAGGTTTTTTGACTGTTTTGATTAAATGTGTTAAAATAACCGTTCAATGAATTGTTACTTAACCATTTTTTCCGAGAAATTTCTAACAGTGCATGATAGCAATACATACAGAGTATTTAAATTTACCTTATTGAATGCAACCATAGAAGAAAACTTTAAGTTGAAGTTCAACATGAATACTTCATCCAAAGAGGTTGGAATGACATTAAATGTATTGCTTTTAATCACTAAGTAATTTTGCTGAAATAAATCTAATACAATCCTCATAAACAAAAACGAAGCTTGTCCATTTTTTACAAGGTGCTCAACAAATCTACAAAAGAAAAATACTTCATTAAAACATGAGTATTTATCAAATTTGTAAGCATTTTTAGTAGTATTTTTAAACATAAATGTATTATTTCATTTGTTTTCTGAATTCTGAGAAATTATGAATGCATTATGCAATGTATTATGAAGAATTCTCAGAACGCATGTGTATGATAAAAGATAGTTTTAGCTGGTTTTCCGGCCAAAATATTTATACAAATACAGTATCGATAACAAATATACAAGTATAGCATATGAGGAAAAAATACGATTTTCAATTATTATATGAAATACGATCGGCGTCCTAAATGCCTTTTTCAGATGCTTAAACAGAAGGGTGTTTCAAAAATTGAGTACTAGATAATCGGAAAACAGTTATATTCTGCAATGAAAATTGAATTAAAGTATAAAACCCAAAACAAAAAATAATGGTTACTGTTATAGTTAATAAAATAGTAGTTGTTGCACATAGCAGAAAATATTTAGGAATGTTAAATCTACCAGCATCAAAGGGAATTATCAGATGGCGTTTGTTTTTAGTTTTGTAGATTTAATAAATAACAATATTAATGAAACATTTTTTTTGAAGCTCCATGTTTGTCATTAAGTAAATTGATGAATGATCTTTAAAAAACTTGTAGACCCCGGAAAAAGATAAATTTATTAATTTTTTATTGCAATTTTTGATAAATAATAAAAGTATTTAAAATTTCAAAGATATTTTTCTTACCTGGTGATTTGATCGCTATCTCCGGTACTGGAAATGTTTGTTTGCATCACTGGATTATTAGTTATTCTACATCTGGCATAACGAAAAAGATCTTCTTGAACTTTAAGCTCAGATAAATTTAGATTTATTCTATGAAGTGGCAAGGAAGATAATTTATTTACATCCACTTTTTTAATAGTAATTACAACCTGAAATCATACAAAGTCTATTCTTTTATTGCTACTAAAAAAGTTAAAAGTTATAAAAAAATAAAAGAAATTTTGTTTAAGCCAGAATAAGTGATTCATTAGATTAGTCATTCAATAACAATCACTACTATATATATATGTCCGTTTCTGAAATTATCTTCAAGTTTTTATTTTTTTTAAGTGTAATATTCAACAAATCTTCATTTATCTGAAGTACTTTCAAATATTCATATCTTGTAAAATATTATTTTCTAAAAATCAATCTTGCTTTAATATCTTAAAATTGACTTAACATTGTTATAATAGTGAATTAAAAAAATCACATGGATGAAATATTGGCATTTTTTTGGAAAATTTCAGCTTTTAGTATTATAGTTTTATTATTTTAGCATAAAAAAAAACTTATTGCGTGATTTGTAAATTTTTTTTATCTAATAACATATTACATGAAGAGGAGGGATATTTATATGAGAATTTATTGTTCACTAAAAATGATCATGGAAATTCCTGTTCAGGAATTCTTTTCTTTTTACCTTGAGCCAAGAAGGGAATTCTTCGATATGCGATGCTAGGAATGAAGTAAAGGAACATTGTTGATTTTCAGCTTCATGAATGCTATCTATCACCAGAAGTTCTGAAGTAAATGAGGAATTCTTTATTGAACGTAGTGGTTGAAGAATACCTTTCGAGAATGCAGTATCGGGATCTGCGATGCAGTTTTCTAAACTTAGGACTTGTTGACAACTGTATGCATAAATAAAGAAAAATGCACCTGTTTTAGAATTAAAAGACTTCCCACTTGGAATATTGAACAAAAATAACAAATAAAAGAGCTTAGCTTTTAAAATTATTTATTATTTTCCACAAGCTCATAAACAGCATATTGAAGTTCGACAGTACAAACTTTTTTGCAAGCTGCTTCCGTACTTATTATTATGCGCATTAAGTTTGACACATTATCAAATGCTTAAAGAAGGCTTAATTTTTCCATTTTGAATCTTAAACGAAAATAACAAGTAAAAGAGCTTAGCTTTTAAAATTATTTATTATTTTCCACAAGCTCATAAACTGCATGCGGAATTGAAGTTCAGTATAAGATTTCTTGCAAACTGCTTTTGATCTCCCTATTATGTGCATTAAGCTTAACACATTATCAAATGCTTAAAAAAAGGCTAGATTTTTATTTTCATTTACTCATCACGAGTAACCTATTTTTTGTGATATCCAGTGATGTAGGGATCGAACTCACGACCTCTTATAGACATGTGTCGAACTCTGCCTAACGAGTTAAAAATCAAAAAGAAGCCTCCCTCAAAGCAAAGAGATGAATTTAGAAGAAAAAACCACTATATAATTGATGGTTAAAAAGAAAAAAAAACAACCAGGATGAAACTTATACAAGTGGTAAAGAAAATCGATACCTTACATCTTGAAGAAGAACATTACGGAATTCCACTAGTTGTGGAGCTTGACAAAGTTGAGCGGCTAAACTGTGCACAAAGTTTGCTATCATGCATGTTTCTGAGCAGTCTTTTTGGCAGAAATGATAACCAACTACTTTTGAAGCCAGGTTTTCAAACGTTATTAAATCGCTAGCTATACTTTCACCTATATGAAAGAAACGAGAAATAAATATTTATATTAATTTTTTGTATTTCAAGAAAATAGTTCTTCACGAGAAGTAAACTGACTGGCAGAACTGTATTTTTATGGCTATGATAGCTTTACGGGCATAATTTTTTCTGCGAGGCACATTTTTCACAGTGTGTTGCATAAGATAATTATAATAATTATGTAACTAAATAAAGAGTGATTAGAATTTGCTTAAAAGTGACTGCTCGATTCAGGAAAATTTTGATTTTCTTCCAGATTTTTTGGGATTATAAATATTGTTGCAGTTTCACTTCTCAAGCAGTTTACCTACTCATCTTTTTTCTACGGAATTAACGATCCCGGGGGCATCCTAGTCATTTTTCCATGGCTTTTTTTCTACCATTTATTATTTTTTTTACATCAGACACAGTTTCTGGTACCAATACTTTGAGTAAATATAAGCGTGAATTTTTAATCTCAAGTTTAGTGCAGAATAGTGCCCGCAACTCTTGTGTCACATTAAACACTGTACATCCAATTGCTGATATTTTCTTAAATAAATTTGATTTTACCAGATATTAATTATCAATTTATATAGTGCATTTTATCCTTGCTGTTTGGGCGAAGTCACTGTTTTTGTCATGAAGTTTCAATGCGTTTCGTACCAAACAAAACCAAGATGATCTGGAAAACATCTCTGAAGATGATCTGAAGACACGCTATAGCAATTTTGATCCTATGGACTGGGTATGACTCCCAGCTTTGGTCTGCGTGCGAAGTCAGGCACTTTATCGAAAAACAGTTTAACGAGAACCGATACCGTTCACCCTCGGCCCCTAAGTAGGCTGAAGAAAGTGGTCCCCCACCAGCTTACTGACTAAACCTAGTGATGTTTAACTTCGCATATTGAAAAGAGTCTAAGCAAATGATAGTATGAGCAAAATCATACTCACTAATGATACCCGATTTTCTTTTACGACCAAAAGAACTCCAATCAACCAGCTGCAATATTAGTGTAGTTTTTCCCGATCCTTCGTCCCCCACTAATACGACACCTCGGAGATTAGATGACACTGCCTAAAAATAAATAAACTAAATTAAACCTATGTCTTACGAATTGAATTTCAATTTAAATCGTATGCAAACTGAATTAACACCTTGTAGATCTCTTGAAATACCCATTGTCTATACAGGAAAGCATTCTCGTTTTCCGGTTGAGGAACTTCGAAGTATAGGGGTTTCAATTTTATGAAACATTCGGGTGTACCTAATTAATGGGAGGAAAATCCCATTAAAATATGCAAAATGGTGAGTTTCGAAATTCATCCTATTAAAGGAGCAAGAAATGAAAGTTTTTTTTCTTCTCTTAAATATGCTTTTTTTAAACAAAATGTATTAAAAACTTACTCAAAAACATTTCGTCGAAAGATGTGGCCGTGGTAGTTCTCTGCGGTTGAGGCAAGCCTTTAGCATATTGTCCTTTCTCTGAAACATATTTTTATTTGAATTTTTGGCGAAGCATATAAATTATTAAAATATGAAAGTTGCCGTGGAAAAACATCGCATATGCTTTGAATTCTTGAAATATATTTAAAAATGAAAAATAAAATATGTCAGAAATGTAGAATGTATCATAATCAACCACTCAAAATATATTTCTTTATCCTTGTCAAAAATGAAGTTGAATTTATACGTAGTATGGCTTGCAAAGTATTATTTAAGTAAGGGTTGAATATAAAACTTAATCAAAACATGATGAATCATTAACCAGATAAATCGTAGTCAACTTGAGATTCAAAGCATCAAAGCCTATATGTGAAAAAGCGTTTATTAAATATGCGTCTAAAAAAATTGATCAATTTTCATAATTTATATAATTTTTCTTTTTAGTTTCATTCGACAAGAAAATCATGACGTTTGCTGAGATTGATTTCGGTAAATGTGAGCAACTACTTCCATGTGATTATATTTTATAATGGTTCGTAATATTTTAATAAAGTTCTTGTTTTAATTCTTTTTTTTTAACATTGATTTTACTCTCCTAATGCATGTATTTTTTGACATTTGTATTGACAAGGTTACTAAAACCATAATGAAAATCATGATTTAGTAAAATAAAAATAATGATTTCGTCAATGAATTTTTAAATCTAGACGCAGCTCGAAATGCGTGTTTACAAAAATAGTCAAAGCTCGAAATGCGTGTTTACGAAAGTGAAAATAGTTTGTATTGCGTGTTTACGGAAAGGGATAAAGCGTTTGACTCGATTTTTCAAACTTCTTTATGAGTATTTTTTTCCTTTAAAAAAATAAATAAAAAAGAATAAACTGATGAATCCAAATAAATTCGTAGAATGATATGGTTCATTTACAAAAAAGCTCCTGGTACATTTAATTAAATTTACCTTTTTTTCAATGACTTTAAAAGTTAACAGTTGTTTTTACAATGCTGCCACAGGTGCTATTAATCTATAGTGTTTGTAAGTTTTCGTTGAAGCAATTTAAAGTTTTAAAACTCATTTCATCACTTAGAATGCTGAATATGAAGTCTGAAAAAAAGTTACATTTGTAATATATATACCTAGCCACCCCGAAGCAAAGAAGGGGTCTATCTTTCATTGACATAATGTAAATTAGTCCCCTGAGGTTAGGTGTGGTCCCTGTGCGCAACATTTACGGGTACAAACAACAACAGAGGTTCTATAAAAGGGTTTGCCAACTAACCGATTCTGGGAAAGCGTTGGGGAGAAGAAGAAAAGTTTTTTTTATTTTTTTATTGGCAAAATGGGCTACAGGTGGCGCAGAACTCTCTACCAATGGCAACACTTCACCATTAGTGTGTGGAGAATCACAGAAAAAGTAAGTAAGTTAAATATGGAACCATATAGGAACCATATAGGAAATTCCGTATAGGAAACTATATGGAATTGAAAACTAAATTAAACATAGTTCTAAAAGAAAGCGTCAAGAAAATAAAAAAAAATATTTTTAACAATTAAATAGGAAAAATATTGTCGTACATTCCTATACAACTGAACAGAGGAGGAGAGGGAAGGGTTAAGGGCCAAAGGCATGGAACCGGTCTTCTCCCCAGATGGCGTAGTCGAGCGTTGCGATCGCCTATCGTTGGTTTGTTCTGTATTTTTACACTATTGATAAACAGTGCTGTACTTTTATGATTTTTCTTTGAGAATACATTTATATCATCCATGTTAATTAAATATGCTAACATATTTGATATCGAAAGAAAGAGTAAAATGGCGGTTGGGTGGAAGCAGCGCACCCCACCATGCAAGTAGAGTTGTCCAACAACTGGTTCACAGGTGACGTACCTCCCGACTGTTACTTTTCATCTTATGCGCATGCGCTGGAACTTCAAATGACACTCTGCTTAATCTGAGTATGTTTCTCACCCTGTAAGTTGTTTTTCTGGTATAGCGTACCAACAGCTGACCTAATTCTGATGACCATCAATGCTTTGTAATTTTGAACCCAACTCAGAAGACAAAGGAACTCCTCGATCAAGCTGTGGGACAAACTAGCCTTCGTGGAGGACTTTTTGAGGGAATTTGAGTTAGATAGAGGAGAAAACCACGAAAACCTCACACGGTTAACCCGATGGTAAGGGGTCTCAAACCCATGATTAGTCTACCACTGAGGATATTTTACGTCAGTACTGTGGTAGGGGTGAGCCAGGAGCAGAATTCGCATCAACCAGCCACCGCTGGGATTCGAACCTGGGTCACATCATTGGGATTCTGTAAGTACTACACAATGTATTTAGTAATTTACTAATCAATTTTAAATTAAAAAAAAACCAACAAGATTACTACTAACTTGGGAGTCTCTTGGACGTGTATATTAAAATACAAAATAATATATTATAATAAAATATCCTTAATAAATAAAATGTTTGCTTCGTTCTATATTCTTTGCCCGAAGTCTGACTTTGCCTCGCAATGATTATGCTTAGTGTTTAAATAAGTGAGGAAAAGTAAACACGTGATTCCCGTTTAGTTGTTAAATTTGAGTTCAAAATTAAGAAGGCACATTTTATGCTTAAACCATTTCCGTAAACATGCATTTCAAGCTTTGTCCTTTTTCGTTAACACGCTTTTTGAGCTTTTTCCATTTTCACAAAAACGCATTGCGAACCATGTCCAGATTTAAAAACTCAACTAGGATTTGTTAATTCTAAAAATTGGAATTAACAATATACAGGGATGCCAACTGCTCTGCCTTCTGGAGAAGTTTTATAACTGCAACGGAATATGCGGATTATATCTACATCAGACTGGTATCGGATTAAATAGTAAAACATATAAAATAAGAATAATTACGCCCACTCTTTAAAAGTATCACCAGGAGATAACTGCAATAAATTTGCATTCTTCATCATCTTTGAATTTTTGATATGTAATAGTGGAAAAATTACTTAAAATGAAAAATGTTAAACTAAAAATAACTTACACTTCATTAGCACTAGAAAATATTTTTCTACAAAGCGGAGCAAGTTGTCATCTCTGAATATAAAAACTTTAGTCACATTTTCAACTACTTTGAGGTATTTTATTATTTTTTTTTAAACAAGGATTTTGAAAATTATAGCATTGGATGCTTTCTACAACATTCAGCCAGAGAAAGTAAATCAACTTATTTCATACGATAAATGCCTGATGGCCCAGAATCTTTTGGAACGCTCAGTGATGGTTCGTTGGTTATATTCATCAATACACGCATTGGTGTTTCGCTCGATTTTCTTTCTGAAATATACACAAAAAAAAGTATTATATATATGTTACCGTGAATGACCGAAATCAAGAGAATGTCGACATTCACCGATGAATGTCAACAATCACGTTGTCACTATGGTGAATGTCTGAAATATTTGTTATATCCGATTTAATATTAATTTATTCATTTATATTATTTTTTTATATTATTTTATAGCCGTCGTTGACCAGCCGATCCAATTTTGGGCTTACGACTACTAATGTTCAACTCCGTAGTCTTGAAATTTTGAACCAATCCAGAAGACAAGGAAACTCCTCGAGGATTTGTTATGGGAACATGGAGGCGGCAGATTTAACATGCACCAGTCACCATTTACTACACGGGGAGTCTTCGGCTGGCGGAGATCGAACCCACGATTTCTTGAACATGGGCCCAGTACCCTACCAACCAGGCTATCCCAGCTCTCGTTGATATTATCACATTTATTCGATATTTTAATATCTGCTGATAGATTAGGAGAAACATTACCGGAAAACCGGTTAAATACATACTGGATAGTGGCACTTGATCTTAAAAAACATTGATGTAGGGTATACAGGGCAAATGTATACCGGGTAGTGGCACTTAAATAGATCTAGTATATATTTCGGATATTTGCAAAAGCGGCTATGTGATTGTCAACATTCACCGATGGAAGTCAACAACCACCAATTTCGGTCATTAACAGTAACATATACGCTTTCAATAATCTTTCATTTTTATTAGAAACTTCATACATGTTTTTGTCTAATATTCATCTAGAAAGTATAAGTATTACTGAAAAACTGAGAAGCTAAAGTTAATTGTTTGATTTTTTTTCCAAACCGATAAAAATGTATACATTTTGATGTATTAGTAAAAATGATCCTTACTTTCGGCCTTTTCTGTATTTCGAGAACATTTTTTCGATGATCGGTATGTTACGACTTCACCTAAAAAAAAGTGATCAAATAAGAACATATTACACTTTCGCTGACTCTTCAATGAATTTTAAAATTGTTTTAAGTATTTGAAACCTTATCTACTGTTTTATAAACTATATGTAAATTTACTAACCAATATCTCCATTAACAAATCTAGAAAAATACTCTGGTATAAAAGGGAACATAAGGAAATCTAGGGTTTCAAGATGATTTACCGGTACCAGCAAATTAATAAGACATTTACGGCGAAATAAATACGCGAGACTCGTCCACTTTTTCTCCTGATAGCTACCACATAGTCTGATGATCTCAAAGAACTTATACAACGATTAATAATCCACGATGGTTGGGATAGGGGCCGCTGGGCGGCCCCGGCAGGCGCCCAACTCATAAATCAAGTTCAGTTCAGTCCTCTTCTCTCAGATTTTTTGTATGTTACATCTTGTAAATCTAATAAAATTTCGTAGTGATGCTTTTCTGTCCAATGTTTTTAAAGTTTAACCCTTTTTTTAAGTTAATCTCAACTACTCCAATATTGCTTTTTAGGCACCATCAACAGTCATAACTCTAAAATTAAAAATTTTGTACATTAATTAGTAACAAAAATATTTTAAATATATTAAAAATTATGTAAAAATACTTTAAATGATTTAGTTCTTACATTTGTTCAAAACAGTATTTTAAAGTACTTGGAATGCAAAGAGTTTAAGTGGATTCGATTGTCCTAGGTTATTTTTGAAAACGGGTATGGCTATTCCTAAAAGAATTAAGGCATTATTTTCTCCCGATTAGTATAAAACATTATTGTCTATAATATATATCCCAACATTTTTGATAAAACAAAATCTTATTTTAATAATTTGTTTCATTAGAAATAGATATTGTATACTTAATTTACAATGCATTTCAACTTTTTAAATGTTAAAAAATTCTGTATACGATATAAAATTAATGTAAAATGTTAAGTTTTTCAATTGTTCTAATATTTTTAAAGGAAGGTGTAGAGTTATTTACAAAGTTAATACCTAGAGCTATCAATGTTTGCATGACTTTCACTCAAAAACCCAAATGAATACTTACGAATACATGTGGGGCATGAATCTTGAACACAAAGACAACTGTAACATCTGTCATGACCGCAAGAATCGACTACACATCGTTTTTTGCCACTATCAAACGGAAGTTTGCAGGATGGACACTGACCTTTTGTGTAGTTTCGCTTCCATCCTACGAAGATATAATTTTATGTACGAAGATAAATTTTACTTAAATATGATTTTAATGAAACAAGATACTTATCCTCTTCACAACTGAAATATAAAGGAATATAGCAAAAAGATATCTTATAGTTCCAAATTTCTATTTAATTGCCATAAGTTATAATAAGATAAACTAAATAACTGTACTGCCAGGAGGCTAATAATTTTAGATACGCATGCGTGAACTAAATAAACTAAGTAACTTAACTAACTAAAATAATTTAAACTAACTTAACTAATAAAGCAATATAAACTAAGTAGCTAAGCAAAATAATATAAATATTCAGAATGTTAAATTGCACCTAAAGTACGAACAAACATGCATAATGTTATGCTATGGTCTATTTAAATACAATGATGAATAGATTGAATATATTAATTACAGTATATTAAGAGAATTTCTTTTTACTCAAACTCTTTTGGAAAATACTTTGAATAATTATAGAGTCGTTTAGAATAATAAGCTTTGCTTCTCGTAAAGAAATCAAACCCTTCTGCTACAAAATTCAAATTTTTATGTCCTACTTGAAGAAATTTAAGAACTCACGATGTCCCTAAAACTAATTAAATTTTAGATTTAAAATATAAAACAAAATAACAGTAGATGTTTTGTGACCTATTACAATAAAACCGCTTGGTTAAATTTCCCAAAATATTGTAGACATCTGTTATACATCATGAAAATCAAGAATACGGAAGTTACGAAAATATTAAAATGAAACAAAATAAAGTTTTTTTTTTTATAAATTTAAAATAAAGAATTTATATTTGACAAAAAAATAACTTCGAGTTTTTAATTAGTCTGATTTGACAGCTAACATCATATTAAAACTGGGCTACTAACTACGGTTTGGAAATAATCTTTCATAATAATCATGAAAACCCGAAGTTAATACAGGAATATACGAGAACTCCAGTTTACATTATATAGATAGCATGGTAGTAATCACCTGATTTCACATTCCACAGATACCCAATCAAGCCTCAATTTTTTATGTTCCAAAATTCAAGGTACATTGTTATCTAATTCGAAATAAAAACATTATTTAGAAAAAAAAGTAAACATTGGAAAATGTAGTCATTGATAAATGTATTCTGGATTTTTTAAAAATTGTTTAAATTGAAAAAATTGAGGAAAAAAAACCTTTCTGATACATTAAATTATATTTGAAGGTTCTTTTTATTCGTTTTTCGTAACTGAATTTTTGTTGCTTTTTTTTATAAAACTTAAATTTATAAATATAAAAAAAATAAATACAATGTAGTGGAAAACATATGGAGAATCAGCATAAATATGTATGCGAGGAAAATATTTCACTGTTATATAGCTATAAAAACGTACACAAATGGACTAATGAGCATAATGAGCGCCCATTAATATAAGCCTTTACAGTTATAGTTCATTTACAGTTATTGTCAAATATAAAAAAACAATTACAAGAGAGCTTCTTATTTAAAAAAACTTGTATATTTACAGATAAATATATGATTAGTATATTTATTGTATTATTAGTATCAAAGATGAGTAAATTTATAAATAAATTTATAAATTAAAATATAATTATTTATTTTAACACTGTTCTATGTTTCACACATTTTGAACAGTATTTAGAAAGTGAATAAAAATATTCTGTAAAGCTAAACGCGTGAATTATTAATGAATAATGCTCCTTTCAAAGACATCTTCTCAATAATTTTCATCCAATTTACTTGAGTATTTAGAAGTTCATGTATTATTGGTGCAGTTCTTTTTTGTTACACGTATGAGTTTTAATAGGTATTTTATAATAAAATGACGTCAGTTTGGATGAAAAATGCCTTTAAAAATCAAGTACAGTCGGACCTCTATTTAACGAAGTCGCTAAATCCGGATAAAAAGTTCCTTATATGAGAAATTCGTTAAGTAGAAAATCTTCATTTAAAATACTTAAGCAACACAAAACAGGTTCGAAATTCATAAGCACTAGACATAATTAAAATAGCAATTGATATATCTTGTAAATTATTATCTACAATCGAATTGTTTCAAATGATTTTAACATTTCATAATATGAAGGTTCGGTGATTTCTTTATCATTTCTGTCTTCATCTTTTTCGTCTTCCTCTCAATTTATTGCTGCATTGTGCCTATTTTTCCCACTGCGATCCGATTCAATTAAGATTTCTGAGGACTAAGTATCAATAAAAAGAAAATCGTTAATCAGTACATCATCGTTTATTTCGTGATTCTCTTTTAGCTGTACCCACATATTTTTAAGTTCTTCTAAAGGAATGCCATCCTCGTCCAGTCCACACTTTCCAAATTCTCCGAGCTAAGAATCCAGCTTCTGAAAACGAATAGTACTATCTGTACGGTATAACGAATAGTACTTTTACGAATAGGTACTATCTGTAACATCATAGTTCCATGCTTTAAAAATTTCTGTTATGCTTTCTCTTAAATTGATTTTTGTCACGGATTCCTGTATGAAATGCAAACAAAAAGGGATTTTACTGCTTTCTCTAAAAAATTATGTGGCTGCGAAAATCAATTCAATGTCATCCCCTCCATCATAAAATGCGTTAACAATTTTGAAAAGCTCCGAAATATTTTGAGAAATAGGGAAAGGGGATCTCAAGGAAAAGTTTGTTTAATAGAAATTCATTTCGCTACTTGGAAGTTAATTTACGAAGAAATTTTCAAAATGTTCTTCGTTCCTTGATGAAAATCGCAAAATAGAGAAATTCGCAAAATGGAAGTTCGTTAAATAGAAGTCCGACTGTATATCAGTTGATTCATCAGAAACAATAATATAAATAAATAATTAAATCCTATGTGCAACAGAGACTACCTTTAGAAATTGATACGCAATGACATGCACAGAAGGGGCAATGGCCCCAGTCAAATAGGGACATTTTATTTCACTCCTAAGGACAATGAAACTTAAAATCAGTTAATATTATTTTCATTATGAAATTATATTTTTTAACGCAGAAATACTTGGCTCAAACAAATTGAATGGTAAGTTACTTATTACATAAACAAATATAATAATAGAAGCCCTTAAAATTTAAATATTTTTAGCACTTAAGAAAACATATAATGTTAGAAATAGTCCATATTTACCATAAAAGAATTTCCGCATTTTTTTGCATAAGAATGAGTTTGAAATATGACTTTTATTAAATATATTAAATTTCCTAGGTTTTTATTTTTATTAAATTACATTTTTAATTTCTTAATTTGTCTCCCACTTTCCTTTTGAGTTCGCTCCGGGCATCCCAACACCTTTCCAAGCCATTGTTGACATGCCATTATTTCCATTTAGTTTTTGAGAAAATGAATTTATATTTAAGGAAGTTAACTGTCCCCTAATTATAAAAGTCGAAGCTGTGATTAATTCGCGAAGACATTTTTCTTCTATAAAAGTGTCATTGTTATGTGCTTTTTACGTTTCTCATTTGTATGAATTTTCGTTTATATTTTTAGGAAAAGTGGTTCTCGAATGTGCTTATAGTCGAGTCAAGTAAAATTATGACATTTTTTTTAAAAAAAAAAAATCACAATAGGGGATCTATAAGACTTACTGAATTATTGAGTGAATTTAAATATTAACTAACTCCTACATGCGACAGCAACTACGTGATAAAATTGACACGGCGTTATTTTTATTTATTTATCTTATGACAAATAAAATTTTATCTAAGTTAACGATCTCGTAATGGTGAAAATCGAAGTTGCCAGAAAAAGCTATTCGAAGACATTTTCCCCCTATGGGCATATCAATGCAATATGTCTTCAATATTTCTGATTCGTAAGAATTTCGATTTACATTTTCTGAAAAACGGTTCTCAATTGTGACTGTCGAATTACGCTAGATTATAAATTGTATTTTTTTAAAAAATTCACTATAGTGGACCTCAGAAATTTATTTATTTATTGAGGGAATTCAAATATTAATTAACTCCTTCGTGCAACAGAAAATACGTTAGTAATTTACATGTCGTTATACGCATTTATTTATTTTATGACAAATCACATTATATGTAAAGAAATCAATGAGTGAATGATTGCAAAAATCAAAGTTTTGAGAAATGCAGTTTTTCTTCTATGTAGGTGTCTATGCAATGTGCTTCCTATATTTCGCATTTGTATGCATTTTGGTTAACATTTTTCAAAAACGTAGCTCCCGAATAAGCTTACAGTAAAATAACGTAAAATAATAGCGTTTATTTTTTGAAAATTTCACAATAGTGGGTCTCTTAAATTTACTGATTTATTAAGTGAATTTAAATATTAACTTCTACGTAAAACAGACACTATGTTAGTAACTAATATGCCTTTATTTTTATTAATTTATTTTATGGTAAACTGAATAATCTATAAAGAAGTTTATGAGAAAGTGATTTCAAAAATTAAGATTGTGAGAAACAAAAAAACAATCTTTTTTCTATATGCCGGCCAAGACAATATGCTTCATAAATTTCTCATTTACGTAAGATTTGGATAACATTTGTAAGAAAAACCATTTTCAATTGGGCATACTACTGAATTACGCAAAATTAATATATTTTTTATTTTTTGAAAATTTTACAATAGTGAACCTTTTAAATTTACTGACTTATTTAGTGAATTTAAATACTAATTAAATCTACTTACTGAGTCGTCTTCTACGATTAAAATACGTTCGAATTGGTCTTACAATATCCCAATGCCACAAAAGCATCCCTTTCTTTAAGGAGTTAAAATCATTACTGTTAGATTTAGTTGAGTAATGTTGCCGTCACCCAAGACTCGCTAAATTTAACTAAATCGCGGTCTCTGAACTTCTGAGTTTGCACCCAAGAGTCGTTCTGATCGTCACTGTTGTCTGAGATATTTAGGGAATCCCTACAAGCTTTGGCTTGCAAATTTCAGTAAAAGAGCGACATCCTTTTCTTTTTACCGCAACATTTCTCCACTCTTTATTATTATTTTGTTTAGGTGAAAGTAAATAAAGGTATTTCCAACGAGAAGAGTTTTTTTTAAAGAGATATTCTTTGGGATCTGTACCAAAATCATGTGGAGACATGAATCGTTGTAATGACTCAGGTTCACTTAGAAATAGAGGTTTTAGTCTGCTTTAAAAATTTAGATCCATATAAGGAATTTTTAAGAAAAAATAGACGTTTCGAAATCTTTTGTTTATTAATAGAATGCAAATTTTTTAGAATTATTAATTTTCTGCTTAATTCTTTGAGGTGAACAGATTTTTTTTTACTTATTATTATTATTATTTTTTTTAAATTCTTATATATGTTGAGACAGCAACATTTCTCTACTATTTACATTATTATTTTACTTAGGTGAAAGTAAATAAAGATGTTTCCACCGAGATGAGTTTCTTTTAAAGAGATTATTCTGTGGGATCTGCACCAAAATCATGTGGAGATGTGAATCATTGTAATGACTTAGATTCACTTAAAAATAGAGTTGTTGGTCAGCTTTAAAAATTTAGATTCATATCAAGAATTCTCAGGAAAAATTTGACGTTTCAAAATCCTTTGTTTATGAATAGAATGGAATTTTTTTAAAATTATTAACTTACCTCTTGATCTTTAGGCTGAACAGATTTGTTTTTTTCATTCCTATATATGAGAAGACAGCAACATTTCTAGACTATTTACATCATTATTTTGTTCAGGTGAAAGTAAATAAAGGAGTTTCCATCGAGATGAGTTTTATTCTATTGTTTTATTAAAATTTTTACTTTTATTTTTATAAAGAGATATTCTTTGAGATTTGTACCAAAATCAAGTGGAGACGTGAATCGTTATAATGACTGAGATTCATTTAGAAATAGAGGTTTTTGTCGTTCAGCTTTAAAAATTTAGATTCATATAAAGAATTCTGAGGAAAAATTAGACGTTTCAAATTATTTTGTTTATTAATAGAATAGATTTTTTTTAAAATCATTAATTTTCTACTTGATTTTTGAGATGAACTGACTGATTTCTTTTAAATTCTCATATTTCTGAACTATTCACTATTATTATTTTGGTTAAGTAAAAGAAAATAATGGTATTTCCACTTAGATGTGTTTTATTTTAAATAAATATTCTTTGAGATCTGTACCAAAATCAAGGTGGAGGCGTGAATTGTTATAATGACTCAGATTTACTTAGAAATAGAAGTGTTGGACAGCTTTAAAAAATCAGATTCATATAAGGATTTCTCAAGAAAAGTTAAACGTTTCGCAATCTTAGTTTACTTATTATTAGAATTTTTAAAATTATTAATTTTCTACTCTATTTATTTATCTAGTTCTTTAATTGAACTGACTGAATTTATTTATTGATTCTCATAATTGGGAATGTAGCCCAAAGAATCTCTCCTGANGTTTATCAAAAGAATGGAGAATTTTTAAAATTATTAATTTTCTACTCTATTTATTTATCTAGTTCTTTAATTGAACTGACTGAATTTATTTATTGATTCTCATAATTGGGAATGTAGCCTAAAGAATCTCTCCTGAGCGATTCCTTGGGATACCATGATATAATGATTCAAATATGCACCAATATAATGATTCATTGAGAAAAATATTGTTTTTGTGTTGGTCAGCTTTAAAAATTGAGAATTAAATAAAAAATTTCGAAAAAATAAAAATTTAAATTTTTAAAATTCTTTAAATTCATTGAAGGGTAATTTAGTGAATTTGTCAGTTTTTCTCTTAATTAACTTCTTTTAGATGAACTGACAGATTTTGATTTTTTTCTAATTGCTATACATATTTATTTATGCTATACATTTATTTTTTGCATAATTTTTACTCACTTTAAAATAAATTAAGTTACACTGAATTTTTTCTCTTGTTACAAGTTTTAATTTTTCTTACAATCTATATGAAGATTCATGCAGATCTGATTAAAAACTTCGAATTCTGAAATTAATACATTTTAAAAAGCGACACATCTGCTCAAAAGCCGTAGAAAAAAGCCATAGAAAATATTTTGGATAAAATTAAGAGGAAAAAAAACCATAAATAATCTTTTAACGGAAAATATTATAAGATAATTTTATTTTAACTTAGTGTAAGATAATCTTTGTTTTCAAAATCATTTTGAATATATATATGCATATATATACATATTACGGCGCTACGAAATTTTTTGTACTCTTGTATTTATTTTTTTCCTGTAATTGATAGGTTTACTAGCATTCTTTTACAATCTGACAATCATGGTCTTTATCTGTTTTCTAAAGTGTGGAATTAAATTAGATGAGACTTCAGGGCAATGAAGGTTTACTTTCTAAATGTTATTTAATGAAAGTCACGAACATTGGCAGAAAGTGCACGACTAATATAGCAAACTTTCAAACCACCCCTTTTTATTTAAGACACAACAAATGACTTTTTAATCCATTTTTTTAATAATAAGTTTATTTTAAAAAATAATTTTGTGACGTTGTAAATTCTCCAAATGTAGGTCAGAATGAATAGCACCCTTAAAGATGACTTAAGACTCAACAAATGACTTTTTAATCCGTTTTTTAAATAATAAGTTTATTTAAAAAAAAGTAATTCTGTGACGTTGTAAGTTCTCCAAATGTAGGTCAAAATGTAGAGCACCCTTAAAGAACTTGACACATTCAACTGTTATAGGTTTAAGGTTTTTTGATTGATAATTGAATCTAAGCAAAAGCGTTGTTTATTTCTTTGCAAAGTTAGGGAATGATTTTTGTAATAAGCAGATAAGATAAAACTGATTTTAAAAATCGGAGAATTAAAGGCTCTATTTGAAATAAATTTCTTTTTCTTTTCTTATGTACAACAACAAACAATAGAATAAAACAAAATTTGTGAAAAGGTGCTTTTTATACGATAAGTAAATCATCAAAATTAAATTTTCAAAAGCAACACAATACAAAATGGTCGCTGTTTAGCTTTTTTAAAGATGAAACCTTGCTTATTGACTGTGGTCCTGCAACCACTGCAATTTTTTACTTGAGATGAAAAAGTAAATCTATTCTGATTAGGTAATAGAAGAGTTAGAGAAGTACGTAGGAATTTTATTTATTTATTTATTTACTTATTTATTACTTATTTATTTGTATTTTGATTTTCGCGAGAAAAGGCGCGATTCATGAAATAAAACTCACATATTTTAAAAAATTATTGTTTGAAAATTTTTTGTAACAAAATAGCTAAGCTAGCTAATTTTTGTTTGTTTGTTTGTTTTTTGATTTTCGTGAAAATTAATTCATAAAATAAAATTCTTTTTTTTAAAATTATTGTTTGTAAATTGTTTGTGACATAATAGCTACGAGATAAAATGACGATAATTTTAGATTTACAGTTTAAATACTATATTAGATAACTGTTACTAAATAATATATTAAAAAACTGTTTAAAGAGCTAAACGTGTAGTCGTGGCCGAGTGGTTAAGGCGATGGACTAGAAATCCATTGGGATCTTCCCGCGCAGGTTCGAATCCTGCCGACTACGAGAAAGTTGTATTTCTTTTAGACCTATATCGACTGAAATGAGCGTGGCATATCTCATCATTACTATTTTAATTTTGAAACTACAAACCATTTATCATGTTTTTAGAGTTGATATGTATAATTGAGAGTTAATAAAAAAATAATCATTAAATACAATTATATTAAATTCGACTTTAACTATAGTGAGAAATTTACCTTTGTTCTTAAAAATAAATATTGTTTTTTTTCTTCACAATTTAATTAACTTAATAAGTAATATTTGCTCTTAAATTTTAATATATTTTCGTATTTATATGATAACAAAAACAACTTATAACTTCATATATTTTTTGTTTCAGAAAAATTATAATTATTTATTTATTAATTTGTTTTTTGCGAAGGAGATGAACGAAAAATAGTTATCGGCTCATTGACAGCGACATTTTAGATTTAAAAAAAAATAATTAAAAAAACATAGTCTTTAATTTGGTAAATTAAAAAAACAGTTGTATAAACTTTCAAGAACAAAACTCACATTTATGTGATAGGTTAGATAGGTTAATTCTTTTCATAGTAAATGTATAAATAAAAAATCTGGAAAAAAATGCAAGATAATTAAAAACAGAATAAGATTTTTCTATTGAAGTTGCTATTGATTATAATGAAGTTGCTTGCTAAATAGTGGAAGGAAAGAAAAAAAAGAAAAACTTGGTTTGGTACTAAGGAACTTTTCCTAATATTAAACAATTACATTGAAAATCTCCAGATTTTAACCTTGGTCCTTCTACAGCAGCATGAGATGTCATCATCTTCTCTCATTGATTTGCGGGAAATGTAGCAGATGTAGCTGTGGGAAATGTAGCCAAATGATGAATCACCGAGCGTATTACGGAATATGTCGTGGGATGTACAGTCTCAGAATTTTCTAAATTTTATTTCAATTCGAAAGGAAATTAATTCAATTTAGCTTCATATGAAAAAATGAGCTTCATATGTTTAAAAAAGACTCATACTTGCCTAAAAATATTTAAAGAATATTTTTCAAAACTTTTCTTAAATCACGTTATTTGATGCATCGAGTGGAAAATGTCTGGACACTTAATGAATTTTTTGCACAGGAAGATTTATTTAAATCTGGTTGCAAAATTCGGTGCCATATTTTTTAAAAATGCTCTTATATGGAAATAAATTTTTATTGAATATATTAAGGCTGTTTTTTGAAGGCTCCATCGTAATATGAAATGATTCTTTTTTGCGAATCATATGCTAATTTTCATAACTGTTGTGAGTTTGTAACTGTTATTCATGACAGTTAGGTCATCTTTAGCCTATCTAAAGCTGTCAACGTTTTTTTTTGAAAATAGAGCGAAATGTTAATATTTAGAAAATCCACAGTTTTATGAAAATGAAAAGTGTTTGTGGTCTAATTTTTTAATATTTAAAACTTAACTAAAATGATGCATTACTTAGGTTCATAAAAATTTGAAAAAACTGAGAATAAGGCAGTGATTTTGATAATTTTTATCTTACTGAAAAAATGTCGCCAAATATAAGCGATTTTAGAATTTTTTTAATAACTTTAAAAATATTTAAGTTATTTGTCTGCTCTAAAGCCCAGATAATTCTTCTCGGCAAGATTATATATATAGTTGAAAATATCTCCTTGCTTTAAGTGTAAGGCACTTAAACTATGGTTTTTTAATTTTTCTTGGCGACAGAGCTTCGAAAAGCAGCGTGAAAGAAATTTTAATTTTGTCCATAATATGTGAAACCGAAACTTTAGGTGGGGCAAAAAACGTCATTGATGAAAGTAAGTTTTGAGACAGATGTTCATGTAATCTCTCTTTATCAAATGAAATGGCCCAGGTAATAGTAGAGAGATTTTGCATAGCGTTACGGATTCCCCTGACTCTAGAGCTATCAAAGCATCACAGCGCACGAGCGACAAAGTAAGGTTTACAGAGCAATTTTGTAAAATTACTGTATTCTTTTGAGATTTTTAAAATTTTTGTCACTTTTTCATAAAAAGAACGCGAAATTTGTAAAGGTTTTATTTTTAGTACGTTCAATTTCTTTATCACATTTTCATCAAGGGAAGAAAAACCTGAAGATATACTTATATTTTTTATGGTATAATATGATGTATTACCTTTAATTGAAAAAGTATATAACTCAGTTTAACTGTGTTCAATATCATTTTGAATTATTTTGCTTTCTTTGAAAAAATTTATGTGAGAAAATGTAATTTTACAATGCAATTTTGCAAAAATAATTTCTAAATTTTCCCTTGGAGTATTTAAATTTTAATCACATTTACACGGAAAAAAAACTAAGATTGGAATATCATTTCTAAATAAATATTATAACACGAAATTGAAGTATGTGGAACTGGAGAAAATTAGTCGAAACGTTTTAAGAAAAAGAAACATAGCTCATTGTGTAAAATTGTAAGATAATTTTTATGAATTGTACCTGGTAATGATTTCATCAAAAAGTATTCAATAAAAAAAAAAACAGGAGTTGAAGAAGTTAATTTCTAAATTGTCTATTTGTATTTCTTTGCGAATGTTTTTTAAAAGGTTTTGTCCTTAAGGAATTTTTTAAATACACAAAAGCCTAATGAAATTATGAGAATTTAAATTTCAAATTACTCAATTTATCTTCATAACGTAAATAATTTGAAATTATTTAAATTAAACAAATTGAATCAAACATAACATGTTTATTAAAATTACAATGTTAACTCGATTATAATACATGCATACACAAATAACACGAAATAATTTAGTAGTTTTATGATAATACATTTTTGTTACATAAATAATATGAGGATAAATAAGCTAGTAGTTTTTCTATATAAATAATATGAGGACAAACAAGTTAGTAGTTTTATGATAACACATTTCTGCTACATAAATAATATGAGGATGAATAAAATAGCAATTTTATGAAAAGAAATAACAGAATATATTGATACAATCGAATAAATGCTTCAAAGTATTGTGTTATCTAAGGTTTTCTCGCTAATGATCGCAGGTCATTTATATGTCTTAGCATTCCAATAGACACCACTAAGTCTACTACATTCTGAGGTATCCAACCCTGCAAATAAAGAAAAAAAAATTTGAGATAAAATTTTAATAAGGGAATAAATAAAGCTGTGGTATATTTAATAAAAATTTGCGAAGACTTTTTATGTAAATAATTTAATAATATACACTACCCTGCAATAATGGAAAAGGCACTTAGTGTTTTTGCCATTTTTTTAGATTTCTCAAAAAATACTCTAAGGATTATTTTATATTTTGGAGATGTTTAGTTGATGCGATTTTTCATACTTGGCAATAAGATTTAAAGCTGTCAGAGGTTTGGAAAACTGACAACAAATTGCGATAGTATTTTTGAACACCCTAAGTTAGAAAATCAAGCAATAAGTCTGTAACATGTATTGATTACTTTAGTTTTTATTTCTAATAACTGCGTAAAATTTCGTAAACCCAGAGTAAATATTTATGGAGATATGGACATATATATAAGAAAAAAACTTTTAACTTTATAAATATTCGCTGGAATCAAACAATATTTCTGGAGCAATTTAAAATTAATTGCAAAATTATTTATTCAAAATTTAAAAAAAAAATCGTTAAAAACTGCACAAGATATAAGCAGTTAAGGTAGTTCTTTTATATAGGCATGTAAGGAAAAAAAAAAGTTTTTTTAATACTTTTCGCATTGTATTTAGCAACTAATAAAAAAAGTTTGATTTAAATATCTTAATTTAAAAAGTTTCAAGCAATTTTCTAAGTAGTTTTTGTGCTTTTTGAAAGAAAGCTCAAAAGGATCAGGGGCTTTCTTGAAATTTTATTTTGTACTATTAAACAAGATTTACTAAATTTGAGACTAGTACTGTGGAGGTTATCCCTCATAAAAGTATGTTTTCATCATTATGTTTTCTTTCCTTATACCATGGCATTTTGGATTCCGGACGATTATTGTAGGCTATTATGATTCGTTATTAAATTTTATTTTGTGAAACAAAATAAAATTTGTGGAAAACCCCTGATCATTTTGAGCTTTTTTTTTAAAATATACTAAAATTACTTAGATAATGGCTTGAAACTTTTTAAATTTTTAAGATATTGAAATCAAACTTTCTCATTAGTTGCCAAATTTAAGGTGCGCTCCTAAAGTTCCTACTATTGTTGTACAGTGCGCAAAAAACTAAAAAAAAATAATAATTAAAGAAAAGAAGAAGAAAAAACGAACCACTCGGAATAATTTTTGATCTGATGATCGGATCTTTACGTTCTAAGGCTCAATCTTAATGGCTCGAGGAAGTGACCTCAAATATGCTAATTATTAAGTACAGACGATATTTTCCTAAGAAATCGAAATTTAAATATCTGACTTTTTTTAAAATTCGATTTCTCAGGAAATTATTCAATCGATTTCGCTCATATTTTGTATTTTGGCATACAAAATTATATTCTTGAAAATGACGCAAAAAATTGTATATCATACAATTCAAAATGCTTCCTACCAATATTAAATAAAATAATAATGAATATATACTAACATTTATTTTTTGTATGGAATTTTTTTAAAAATAAAATGTCTTAAATGAGAGAAAATACGTTTTTGTATCGAACTTACATCGTAGCTTAAATTTTCGCCTGCACTTATTATCAAATTTAAGGTGTGCACTGAATCTTAATGGATCGAGGAGGTGACCTCAAATACTCTAATTATTAAGCGCAAACGATATTTTCATGAGAAATGGATTTCTAAACATCCAACTTTTTTGGAATTTTCCCAGGAAATTGTTCAATCCATTTTGCTCAAATTTTGTATTTTGCCATGGGAAATTATATTCTTGAAAATGATGCAAAAAATAGTATACCATACAATTCGACAATATATGTTTTCGACCATCATTAAATAAAATAATAAAAATTATAAATATATACTAAAATTTATTGTTTGAAGAGAATTATCTTCAGATAAACAATATTGTGTTGCAAAATTATTTTAAATTCGCTTAAAAAGTTCTCAAGATCTAGCGAAATGCGCAAAAAGTAAAATAAACTTAAGGAGTCCAAACTTTGGAGCTCTCTCTTGACTAAACTATTGGGACCAAATTTCCCAGATTGCAGAAAACCAAATCCGTCAGAAAAAAATTCGTAACTTAAAATATCGTCTGCTCTTATTAGTTAGCATACTCGAGATCACCCCCTCGAGCCATGAAGATTGAGTCCTAGAACGTGAAAATCCGATCATTACATCAAAAGATACTCAAGATGTTAAATTAATCGGTGTTATTTAATTTTCTATTTTCTATTAATAATACAATTAAATAAGCAACTTACATGAAAGTTGACTTGCATCAGCCAAATTAAATAACTTTTTCGTGGATCATCTTTCAGTGGTTGTATGTAATAAGTACAAAACTTGTGTTCTGCTCTGAAATAAGAAGGAATAATTAAATAAATTAAAACTAAATAAAAGTACATAAATTGAAAGTAAGTAATTAAAAGTAAGCACGCTTATAAATAAATAATCTTAGTAAATTTAGAATTAATAAGGAATCGTTCAAATATTACGTAAGCACATAACGGGAGAAGGGTGTGATTTGCTTATTTATGTTGTCAAGTAAGGAAGGGTATTAGAAATGCTTATGTAAGGCATATTAATCCCATTATTTACTTTTCATTTTTTTTATGGCNAAAAAAAAAAAAAAAAAAAAAAAAAAAAAAAAAAAAATGCAACAAAAAATGACACTTGAATTTCAAATTTGAAAGAATTGTTATTTTCAGGGAAAGAAAAGATTTAATAAGAGAACAGAAAGAGGAAACATATTAAATTCTTTAATAATAATCTACTCAAAATTTTATAAAATGAAATGAAATATAAATTTTTTTTTAATGCAAAGTTGCACCTTTTACTTAAATTCAACACAAAAATTGGATTGCTACATCAAACGTCTAAAATTAGGCAAAAACTCAGGGTGTCATGAAATTTTCCCCACGGGAGTTTATTTTTTTAAAAATGTATTTTTCTAAAATTGAAAAAAACATGCTTACGTAATATTTGAATGCCTCGAAAGGGAACTAACGTTTTAAATTTTATTCTTACGTCGTTCAGAATAAAATTTAAAATTATAGCACATTTCAATACGTAGTTTTTATTAAATTTAAGCGGTAAAAGTAGTAAATAGTATATTGACTTGACTACAAGAAATTATCCGAAATTGATTTCTAGCTTTATTGACACAGGTGTTTCGTTACACCCACATTTAGTATACATTTTTAGAAACTTTTTCAAATGTATATGAGATTGAAGTCGCAAAATTCATATATGGGCGAGGAAGAGGAACAAAAAGGCTATCGCAAAATGTCGAATCACTAGTGAGGAAGATGGGGTGAAAACTATCAAAGCTAGTTTGATTGCCAGATGAAAATTGGTTGTGTTTCTAATAATCACATTTCAACTACGCTTAATTTCTTTCGGTAATAAAATGGGTTTTATTCTTTAGTAAATTGCTAGTTTTCAGAAGGGAGTTTTTCTTCCCGTAAATATCATTATGAGACTCCTGATGCGTATATTTTCTGAGCGGAGATTCTAAAAAAATACATTAAGAGCGGTCATTACGAAATGTCCTTTATAATTCGGGGAATGAGTCTGTTAATGTGCTGTGTTCACTGAGTGTTGGGATCATATATAGGTAAAAAAATATCGCGAATCAAGTCGATACATATTCATGCAATTAAATAATGCTGAACAATTGAGCCGCAATGGCTCAGAGGATAGAGCTTTCGCCCTCCAATGAGGTGAACCGGGTTCGAATCCCTGTGATGGCTGGTCGATACGAATTCCGCATCCGGCTAGCACCAACCACAGTGCTGACGTAAAATATCCTCAGTGGTAGACGGATCATGGGTTAGAGTCCCCTTGCCGTCAGGCTAACCTTGGGTGGTTCACGTGGTCTTCCTCTCCATGTAACGCAAATGCTGGCTAGTTCCGTTAAAAAGTCCCCCACAGAGACAAATTTCTCTAACTACTTGATCCAGGAGTTTCTTTGCTTTCTGGATTGGGTTCAAAATTACAAGGCTGCACATTAGTAGTCATAAACCCAAAAACTGGGTTAGCTGTTCAACGACGGTTATAAAATGAAATAGAATACTAGCATTAAATTGATGAAACCCATGAATATGAAGTGTTATTGAATTTGTGTATAAAAATTTTGAGCTTGTAAAATTATTTTACAAGAAACTGTTTAAAATACAATTAGAAGAAATTTTATCATGAAATAATTTCTAAAAATAAAAACTTTCTCTTCTTTTATTTCTAAAACATTTCATAATATTTCGAGTTAAAAATTAGTGAGCACTCTTAAGGTTTATTAAACAGATAAAATACTTAATTTAACTAGCAATCAACTTTTCAATTGCTCATAATTTATTTCCAAACTGAATACGAATCATGAAACTAATTAAATATTATTCAATATACAGGGTGTTCAGAAATCCCCATTCTTAATTTTTGTAATCTTTATGAAAAATTGAGCAAAAAAAGCTATTTAGAAAAAAATTATCAAACTCTGACTAATCATAATCGAGGCAAATCAAATACAATTAGAAATTAAAATCAATAACAACCAGTTTAAGTGACTAAAGGGCAAAAAGCATCTTCAATTGACTGCGATATATTTTATTGGGCAAAAAAATTTCAATTTTTGCTGATTTTATATTAGTTTTGATTTTTGATGATTTTAACTTTTTCTTTGCCTTGAACAACGATTACGATTCGTCAGAGTTTAATATTGTGTTATTTTCTTACATAAAAATTAATTTGTCACCCTTTTGTGTGAATTTTTTGTTTCTTATTTCAAACTCACTCTTAGAGCATATACAACAAATACAGGATAATGTATATGTTACTGTGAATGACCGAAATTCGTGGTTGTTGACTTCCATCGGTGAATGTTGACAATCACATAATCGCTTTGGTAAATATCCAAAATATATACTAGATCTAGTTAAGTGCCCGGTATACATTTGCCCAGTATGCCCTACATCAATGTTTTTTTGAGGTCAAGTGCCACTGCTCTGTATGCATTTAACCTGTACACTGATGGTTCTCCTAATCTATCCTCAGAAGATATTAAAATATCGAATAAATATAATAATATCAACGAATAAATTAATATCAAATATGACATAACAAATATTTCGGTTATTCTCCAAAGCAACTATGCGATTGTTGACATTCACCGGTGAAAGTCGACATTCTCTTGATTTCGATCATTCAAGGTAACATCTATTTTAGATTAAATTTTTTTGCATTAATAGCTTTTGTGACTGTTAATGACAAGTACCTCTTAGGAAGCACAAAATAATTAGATACTTTCTAATTAGTTACCTTGTGTAGGATGGAGCAGGAGGCATATCTGGATGTTGTACAGAAAAACTTGAGACAAAGAAGCTGTTACCTCTTTTTCTGAAAGTTCTTAAATGAACGAAATCCCTGTATAAAATAAATAGGTTTTATTCAAAGTTATGATTGTTTAGCAAATTCGAAAAACTTGAGAAAATAAAACTTATCATAAGCCTTCTGCTCGGACAAAATTTTTAAGCAAGTACAATTCAAAATTTATTTATTAGTAACTACCATTTTCTTTAAAATTATGAGTTCTTTCTAGAAAATAAGCTGTTTAAAGAAACTTTCATATTGTCATATGTAAGCCATTTCTAAGATTAAAATCAAAAATCTTATGCGAAAAATTAATATAACCTTTTATAGGACGTCACAGAGAAATAAAATTTTGAGTGTGAATGTTTTTTAAAATATTTCAGTTTGACATTCCTAATGTCAAAACCCTAATTTATGTGAAAAGAAGCAAATTGCACAAAAAAAAGCACTTCTCTGAGCTCCAGATCTAGACATTTTCAATTTCATTTGCAATTATTTTTTTTTCTCACATAAATATTAAAATTTCTGGTTTTTGATCCATCCTAATATACAGTATGCAAAATAGAAAACGGACCACCCAGAGTAACTTTTTATTTAATGATCGGATCTTCACCTTCTAAAACTCAATCTTAATGGTTCGAGGAGATGACCACAAATATGCTATTTAGTGCAGACGGTATTTTTAAGTTACGAAATTAAACACAAAAGTACTTTCTCTGAATAAACATACCTTTTCTTCAACGGATATCGATTTTCGACCCCAGAAACATAGGGGGTAATCGCGATGTGGAAAATATGGTCCGGATATTTTGATCAGGAGAACGGTGCAAAGTTCGGGCCCTTCAATGTTAATTTTACTCTTTGCGTATTTCGCCCTATCTCTAGAGATTTTTAAGTGAATTGAAATATTTTAGCACAAAATTATAAAATTCTTTTATTCAAAGATAATTCCATGCAAAATATAACTTTCAGTAAATATTTTTTTATTATTTTATTAATTATTAGTCTAAAAAGTTTTGAATAGTAAGGTATACAATTTTTTTGCATCATTTTAAAGAATGTAACTTTGCATTACAAAATACAAAATTTGATCTAAATCGGTAAAATAGTTCCAGAAAGATCGAATTTTAAAATATACAACTTTTTAAGAATTCGATTTTTCAGAAACTATTATACCGATTTCGTTTAAATTTTGTATTTTGCCATCTTAAATTGCGTTCTTTAAATTGATGTAAATAATTGTATGCAATAATATTCATGTTTATTTCGATTTTCATCAAATTAAATAATAATTATTTTCTAAAAGTTGCATTGTGCTTGAAATTATTTTTGGAAAAACAAATGTTATACTTGTGTGCAAAAATTTTTCAATTCTTTTAAAAAGTTCTCAATACGCAAAAGGTAAAACTAACATTAAGAGGTAAGGTAAAATTAAGAGGCAAGGTAAAGGTAAAATTAACTTTCCTGACCAAACTTTGTACCATATTTTCCAGTTTGTGACCGTCCCCTATATTTTCAGAGTCAGGAATCCGAATCTTTCGAAAAAAATGTTGTACAGAGAAAGTGCGTTTTTGCGTCTGATTTCGTAACTTATGTATTAGCATATTCAAAATCACTCTTTTGGACCATTTAGATTGAATCCTAGAATGTGAAGATCTCAGCGTTTATGGATGAAGCAAATAATATATTTTAAGATAAATTGCAACATCTCTAGAATTTTTCTCGCATGCATATTACTAACACAAATCATGATTAGCCATTAAGTTGTAATAAATTTGAACAAAATTATAAAAGTATTAAGTTGTAATAAATTTGAACAAAATTATGCGCATAAATTTGAACAAAATTAAAAATTTGTAAAATAATTTGTCATTTTAAAATCTAATCTTTAATCTAAACTTCTACTATCATTTTATTTCATTATGCCATAAAACTACTTTTTTTTCTATATATATACTTCTTTAATGTGGCTTAAAACTTACCTATTTTGAACAATGAATTCTTTTTTCAGAATGAAGTATGCTATATTTGTTTGCTTGTTAATTTGCTGAATAACCTGCAAATTTTTTAAAATTCAGATATTATGTATACAACAAAATAAAGCTATCAGATCATATTCTGTAATTTTAAAATGATGAAATGTAGAAAATTAAGTATTAATAATAGTATTTCTATATCATATAACTCGAAAACATCTAAATTACTCAATAATAATGTTTTATAATTCAATGCATTTTACGCTTTCTACTTTCTACTAGCACATTTTTAATTCAGAATTGTTTTTCCTCAAATATAATATTTTATGAAGTTTACGTTGTAGTTGTAGTTTTATCCCCGCCAATTTCAATTCTGTTAAAATTCGATATATTGTGAGCAAATAATAAAATTCTAACATGAAGAACTTTCACAAGCGAAAAGAATATTTTGAATACAATTATAGCCAGGGTTAGAGGAAATTATTCATCAATTATATGTGAATTATTCTGAAAGGTTTTGTTAATAATATAATAAGTTTTTTTCAGTTATAAATATTCTAATGTGTGAACTTAGATTATTCAAAACTGAATGCGATTTTTTTAGGTGAAAGATTATATTCCATGTTTAAGCGCATCTCTAATGCTGAAACAAGGTGTCGTATTAATAAAAATTAAAAATGTAAGACTATGGACACAGAATTTTTTTCTCGCTTTTAAATATTTTTGCTTCTAACATACAGGGTAACACTTATAGTTTGCCTAAAGTTAATTTTGTTGAATCTGTCTCACGACCTGGAATTTATAAATGACAGCAAACTCTGAAGAATGGGAAAATGTTGCTTAAATTTGATCAAAAATCTCAATAATAAAGCTTCCTAGAATCCTCGTAAGCATAAGCAGAGGGATCCACCGGAAGTTTCTTCNATTTCATGTTTAAGCGCATCGCTAATGCTGAAACAAGGTGTCGTATTAATAAAAATTAAAAATGTAAGACTATGGACGCAGAATTTTTTTCTCGCTTTTAAATATTTTTGCTTCTAACATACAGGGTAACACTTATAGTTTGCCTAAAGTTAATTTTGTTGAATCTGTCTCACGACCTGGAATTTATAAATGACAGCGAGCTCTTAAGAATGGGAAAATGTTGCTTAAATTTGATCAAAAATCTCAATAATAAAGCTTCCTAGAATCCTCGTAAGCATAAGCAGAGGGATCCACCGGAAGTTTCTTCAAGTTTTGTTATTGTTTGCATTCACTCAGTCATCCATACCTGACACAGTTTTTAAAATTTATGTCAAATATTTGAACTCTGTAGTTTTTGAAAATTTTGTTAACTTTTTTCTTTCTTTCTTTATTTTTATATAACTCATTGTAAACATAGTGACTATTTTCGTTACAGAAACCCTTCGAAATTTTTAGATCAAGGAAAGGATCTTTAAAAAAACATAAGACGCTGAGAAGAGATAAGTTCGAAAATTTGGTTCAGCTTTGTTTTTTTTTCTTTCCTTTTTTGGACGTATTATTTCATTGCGTAGTATTATTGTTTTATTGCATGTAGAAATGTTCATACCTTTACAACACTTACAGAATTACTTCATAGAATTACATTTGAAATGAATATACTGAAATTGTTTCAGTTAAATGAAACTTACTTTAGCTTCTAAGAGATTCCGATTCCATTCTGTACTTTTGTCAACATTAAAAAATAGTTTGTTATTTAACGATTCAGGGTCCATTTCTATAACACCCTAAATGAAATGAAGAAAATAAAACTTATTAATAAGGGTATAATTTTATTTACACTTCTGTTCCAAAAATAATTTGTGAAATAAATGCGTGAAATTTGCTGGAATCAAAGATATTAAAATTATTTAAGTTTAAAACTAATCATGCTAATGCCGAGTAAAGCAACACCGAGCGTTTGATTAGAAATATGTCTCACATTGAAGTACATATTAGAAATATATCTCATATCTAATTTGCCTCGCATAATTAATTTTCCTCACACAATAATTATTCAGTTAACCTCCCTCAAATCAGTCAATTTCCTCTTACTAATTAATTTACCTCAAATAACATGCCGCACAAAACACAAATTTTACCAGCTATTTTCTTCGTGGATCAAAATGACTAAGGTAGTCTTATTGTTTGCTCAGCTGTCACTTTACGAATTATAACTATTACAAAATGGAAACACATCTGCCTTAATCTTGCGAACATTGCATCCAAAAGCTATGATTTGTCATAAAGGATAATAAATAAATAACTGCTTTTTTTTTTTCTTCTTCTTCTTTTTTTTTTTTTTTTTTTTTTTTTTTTTTTTTTTTTTTTTTTGTATTTTTTTTGTAGCCCAAACTCTTCTTTAGAAAATGGCCAAAGTTACCCCGGTGGCCTAAGTGCCAAAATGACAGCACTGATGGATACATTTTTTTTTATTAATTTGATTTCTACTTTCAAATGCTCTTAGAACTGTTAAGCATAAGCTTAAAATATTTCTGGCGTGAACTTTATGCAATGTATCTTATTTTGGGGTAAAAAATGTAGTCCTATATGTTTCTTTTTTTAATAAAAAGGAAACCTTGCGAAATGTTTTTAAAAAAAATTACTAGTTTGTCCTTTTTATGGCAAAACATAGTTTAAGTTCACATAAATTTTAAATTTTCATTTCTAATGTTGATTTAAAAATTGCGAGATTTCAAAAATTGTATTCCTTTACGAAGTTTTGTGAACTATTTCGGCTCTTATTGGCAGCTATTATCTTTTTATGCACTTTTTATTGTCTAATTGATGAAGTATTCACAAAATTATTTTAATGTTTATATTTAAAAATATGAGTGCTTCATTTTGTAAAAAAACTAACCAACCAATTAAAACGATTTTGTAAGTTACTATCTGAGTGATTTTACAAATATGGAAATATTTAAATTATGCTATTTTCTGAAAATAAATTGCAAAAAATTTGAAAAAAAGAATCACTGAAATACTTATATAACGCTAGCAGAGCTTACAAGTACTTATTTTATTTTATTTTAGTATATTCTTTAAGTTGCAGTTTATCGCGTGAATATCGTGTTAATTTGTTTTATGTAATTCATTGTGTCTCATTCTTTTCGTTATAATTCTCTTCTAGGTAGTATTTTGTGACAAATTAAACCAAATTTCCACCAATAAGCAGAGCTTTCTGATTACGAGGTGGATAAAAAAAAATTGTGAATTTTATTTACACAAATATTTTTTGTAAATTTATACGAACGTGTGAAAATATAACAAAAATATCACTGGAATTAATTTTATATCTTCATAATAAAACTTTTGAATGTGACGCGACCAGTCAATCGGAGTCAAAGATTTTGTTTGAAAAAAGAAAAAAAAAGTGTGTCGCTAATTAAAAAAAATCGAAGTTTTTTTTTGGCCAAAAAGTACTTTAAATTTCCGTTTTCTTTCCTGATTTGAGCTCAGATGCTTAGATAATTTTGGTATTTAGAAAAGTTGTATTCTTTTACATAGATCAATAATAAACAAAAATGGAATTAGCGTTATAAGTATTTCTAATCATATGTTTTAATTATGCATCGGGTTTAATTATTAAGAAGGACATAAATAATAATAGAATACTCACTTCATATTTAAACACTTTGCCAATTTGAGGAAGAGTTTTGCAATAAATGACATCATCCTCATCTTTGCTTTCAATTGCCCAACCTGGACTATTCATTATTCTTTCTGACTCTGTTATAGCTTTGTCAGCTTGGCTTTCATAATTGCTTTTCTTCTTCTTTAAGAAAATATATTAAATCAATTTCAATAATAAAACTGCACTTTTTATTAAAATTTTTATGCACTTAATATTAAACTTATTTTCCCATTTATGATAAAAAAATTCTAGGAAATCCCTTCCATAAAAGGGTAATAAATTTTGTCATAAAAGGGAATCCCCTTTTATGATTATGGTTAAGGAAGACATTGGAGTATATTTTCTTTTTATAAATAGAAAATATATTTCTTAGAGGTTTCATGTAGATTCCACAAACGTCACTACCAATGGTTTCCAAAAGGTGTTCCACTGAAACTTAGTCTTCCATTATAAGGGTAGTAAGAAATAAGAAAGTAAGAAATTTTTTAAAATCAGTAAAAGTTATATTCATGTTCAATCCACAACTTATTTAATATCTCAGTTGTTTATATGAACTTATTTATGAAAATGCCATAAGAAAAGTAGCAAAATTTAAAAATAATTTTTGTTTAAAATAACAACATATAGAATAAATTATGAAAACGATATGCAATTATATAAACTTCAATTGGTATTTCTCCTCGAGCTTTTCAATTCAAAATAAAATGGCTAAATTGAAGAATAAAGGATTACGTTTTTATGATTACTATTCTCAACGTTTATAACAGTTCTTTTTTGAAACCATACTTCAGCTAATTTAATTCATTTTCATAATGCATACACCAATAACAAATACACATATATATGACATTGAATAATCCACTGAACAGCGAAACTAATTTTTTTGGTTTACGACTACTAATGTTCAATTCCGTAGCCTTGTAATTTTGAACCCAATCCAGAAGACAAGGGTACTCATGAATCAAGTATTGCAGTATTGGGTGAAATTTGCCTTCATGGAGGACTTTTTTTGAGGGAACTAACTCGCATTTGCTTTACATGGAGAGGAAAACCGCGAAATCCTCCCACGGCTAGCCTGAAGTCAAGAGTACTCTAACCCATGATCCGTCTACCGCTGAGGATATTTTACGTCAGCACTATGGTCGGTGCGAGCCGGTTGCGGAATTCCTATCAATCAGCCTTCGCTGGGAGTCAAAGGAAAAAAAAAATTAGTAAAATTTGGAATTCGCGTAATTATGTAGAAGTAATGAAATACAAAGTTTCTTTTTTTAATTAACAATATGAATTCTAATATTTAACTACTAAAGCCATAGTAAAATAGAATTCGATTCAATAGCAAGTTCTTAGGATTCTGCTAAAATAAATAATAATATTGTGAAGCTTTATTATAGGCAAATAATACTAATTCTAAATGTTTGCGTAGAAATTATCTTTTCTCCAAAAATAAAGGTTCATTATTTATGTATGGATAAATGGAGAGAAAAAAATTGTTACACAAAAATTATTATTATTTAATTAATTAATTTTATGTTTATTTATTTATTTTTTTTTTGACTTGAGCAAAATGGTTTTTATCTACAACAGCATGAAAGTTGTGTTTAGAAACTATCTTTTTATTTTGTTTTGCTTAGTATCCTTTTCTCGTATCAAAAACTAAATTCGTGTAGATAAAAAGTCTCCTGTGGAATTGTTCATAAAAGTTTTACTGGATACCAAAATGGACTTAGATTTTGGTTTTGAACAAAACTTGGAATCTATCTTTTTCATACGGCTCGTTAAGTATTATGTTTGCAATTATCACTTTCTGTTCAATTAATTCAGTGCTAAAATTACAAGCAGTATGCCTCTAAACACTATTTTCATTTCAGCTTTGGGATCAAGTTATATGAGATAGATAAAACCACAATTCAAAATTTTCAGTTTTTAAGTGAATATATCAATCATGATTTATCAAAGCTCTCAGCCAGTAAATTGCTTTTTTCAATGTTTAGTTAACGTTTTTTATTTCTCTATTTATTATTATCATTATCGCGTATCTTTACGAAAATATAATGTATTGTTTGAATTAACTGCTTTTTATTCCAAATTTATGATAAAACGTTTATCAATTGCAAATGTAAAAGAAAATATATTACCTTATCAATTTAAATTTTGGCAGCGAAAATCAGATTATGAATTTATGTTATCGGTTTTAATAAATGAAAAGAGCGTTATCAAAGGTGATGCATTCTGCCAATCTAAAGATAATTTTAGTGTTTGAGAAAAGATATAAAGAAGTTAAGGTTATTTTCAATATTTTCTTTTCTGGAAAAATGGTGTTTATTATTTCATCAGACATAGTTACTAGAAAAAACTTTGCAATTGTTTCATTGCTTTCGATTGTTCGAAAAACTTCATTATTTTTTTCACTATACACTTACGATAAATGCAAATTAAATATGGTAACAAAATGATTTAGTTGTATCATAGGAGGAAAATCGATTTTCGCCATCTAAAATGGAAAAAATAGAGTATTTTTAATGTTACTTTTAATTTTTTTTTTTTTTTTTTTTTGAGATTAAATGTCCAAGGCATATGATTCTGAACTTTGTTTTGCTATTAAATAAATAATAAGCGCAATAGAATTCAGATAAAGTTAACCTAAAAAATATCTAGAAATAGAGCTATCTGCATAAAATAAATGCTAACAATGATATCTAGATGATAATTAAATATATATTTTATAATAATGAACTTTTAAATTATAAAGGAAAAATCTTTTTTAAGGATAATTTAATATTATTCCTAATGCAGTCATTTGAATGATTATAAATTATAGAATCAAACTTTATATTTTGAAAAGGCTATCACATTGCCCCTGCTGAATGAAAGTAAATGACATATTTTTGACACACGTATTTTAAGAAACAAAAGCTGATAATATTTGTCAATTTGGCAAAATCATCAATTAATCCAATTATATAAAAAGCAATAAAAGTAACTCTTTTGATTAAGACGCAATTTTTTATTTTATTTCATGACCGCCGTTGAACAGCCGACCCAAGTTTTGGGTTTACGGGTACCAATGTTCAACGCCGTAGCCTTGCAATTTTGAACCAATCCAGAAGACAAGGAAACTCCTGGATCGGTACCCCCAGAGGCATTGATTTGCTATGGGAACATGGAGGACTTTGAGACTCGACAGATTTAACGTGCATCAGCCACCATTTACTACACGGGGAGTCTTTGACCGGCGGGGACCGAACCCACGAACTCTTGGACATGGGCCCGTCACCCCACTGACCAAGCTATCCCGGCCTAGTAGCGACAATTTAATTTTACATTGATTAACTAGCAGCGTTACATTACAGACTCAAAGGATGGACATCGACAATAACAGTACAATATAAAATAGCTAGTCACGTCACAGGTATTTATTTTTTATTATTTTTATTTTTATTTTTTTTCTTTTGCATTTAACATAAATGGCCATCACGGGTAGCTGAAAAGCTCCGGACTTACCGTCTGTCCCCAGGGACTGGGAGCAGGGTCAGTGGTGAGGCGTGTGTGGTGATCAATCACGTTGGCTGCTATTGTGAGCCAGTCCGTGGTTGATAGTGGGGTATGTATGTTTTGTTTATGTTGTGTTGTGTGTTTTACCTATTTTTATTATGAGTAGTAGTTGAGGCAGTGTTTTGGCGGATAGTGAATTATAAAACTTACCAAAATCATAAATGGTGGTAACTTATTAGAAATTAGTAATTAAGTTGGCTGACTCCTCCCCCACCATTTTTTTTTCTTTTTTGAATTTATATGAATAGCCATAACGGGTAGCTGAAAAGCTCCTGGCACACTGCTTGCCCCCAGTGTCTAGGAGCAGGGTCAGTGGTGAGGTGTGTGTGGTGATCAACCGCGTTGGTTGCCATTGTAAGCCAGTCCTTGGTTGATTGTGGGATATGCGTGTTTTGTTTGTGTTATGTTTTGAGACTATGTATCAGTGTTTGTCATAGAGATTTTGGGAGTCTTGAGAGACATAGGGATATCAGTTAGGTTATATTTGGCCAACATTTTTACCGCTATGGACGCTGATTGGTCTGCTGAAGACCCAGCTGTTGTTAAGCCCTTGTACCCTGGGTAAAATGATCATGATATAGATTAGTGTATTATTGTGTGTGCGTTTATCGACAGTTAAGCCATTTCTTGTTTGTGTGAATCGAGCTTGTGGGCTTTTTCTTTAATATATATATATTTTTTTTAATTATTATAAGCCTCACGGACAACAGCTTGTGTTGACTGACTGCCTGCCAAATGTTTGTTGGTCAGGGGTGGGGCCAGAGTGTGTTTTTATGCTGCAGCAATGGTTTGCCTGGAGCCCTAACACCTCATGATTGTATTTGCTGCCAGTATTTTTACAAAGCAATTATTAGGTTTATGACATATTGTCTGTGATGTTCCTGGTTATGGCAAGAATATTTATTAGTTTTTGCATGATATGCTTGCTTTTGAAACTGTCTGCAAATATCGTTCTGCCTTGTTCATTGGGTTTTTTGAGGTGGTACGATTCAGTTATTGGACAGTCATGTAGGTAGTGACTTGGGGTACCTGTGTCATCGCATGGGCATGTGTCTGTTCGCTGCGTCCTGTGTAAGAATGAGGGGAAGAAGCCATGTTCTGTAAGGAATTGTATTGCTGCTAGATGGTCTATGAGTCGGTCTGTGTCTACTTTAGGGTAATATGATTTTGTTGTATAGCCTTTTTCATTTTCGTCCCAGTATGCTTGCCAAAGTTTTTGTGTGATGTTTTTAAGTTTATTTCTTAGGCTCGATGGTGGAAGCAGAACACCGCTGGGAATCCCGTGACCTGCTGTTGCGTCTTTAGCCGGTAAATCCGCTGCCTCGTTACCTATGTTACCTGTGTGCGCTGCCACCCAGTGTATTTGTGTGTTGCATTTTCTGATTAGGTGTTCTAGTTGTCTCTGTGTTGTTACCACGTGTCGGTCTTTTTGCTTCGTTTTTCTAATAGCGTGTATACTAGCCAGACTGTCTGTGAAAATTATTGCATCTTTGCAGCTGTGCGTCTCTAACCAATTGATGGCTTCTTTGATGGCTAAAACCTCTGCTTGAAACACTGTGTTTTCTTGTTTTAGCGTAAATTTGTATGTA